GCCCCACACATCATCACCTGATACAAGTATTTCATTCGACAAACATTTGCTCGCCTTCCTACCACACTCCGCTTCTGCCATAGCACGCCTCATCTCACTCGTTGGCTGAGTGAAGGTGTCGCTGCGTAACTCGACAATATGAGTATTCGACATTTCAAAAAGGAACTCTTCACTATAGAGCGAATACGGCTATGTACAAGCCCTAGGAGATGAGTGATGATGGCGACCTGCATGGCGTGAAGAAGTAACTACTCTCGAAAGAAAAGGTTGACAGAGGTACTGAACTCAACAACAAAATCTGCCATCAGCATTGGCGAACGGCTACATCAAGAGCACCAGCTGGTGCGAGCATGGTCATCATGCATATAAGTCAAGTGAGTCACCTCCCGAGCCTGCGAGTACCCTGACAGGAGCCGCCGTGAGGAGAGATGATGTTCTCGTGGAGCGGTACTCACTCTGCCATGAATGCATCAGGGTCCACATCGTTGGACCTTTGTTTTTTCTGCTGTTCCGATTGATAGTAATACGCCGCACCCGCGAAAATGAAGAAGACCAGAATGGCACAGAGGATAAGCTGGCAGTGACAATGTGAACATGAGCGTTGCTATAGCCCAACTCACCATCACCGGCGACTTCTTCTCAACGACCATGTTCTGAACACTGTTCATGGCAGCATCGGGCTCCTCTTCAGCCTGTTCTGGTATGACCGGGTCACCGCTAAAGTCAATTATTGCTTCTCGCTCAAGCACTCTAAAGAAAAAGGGAAATACCATATAAGACGAAACCTCATGGTCCTCACCGGTCCGCGTCGGTAACCTTAGTTTCACAGCGTGACCCCTGGAACCCTGGCGCACACAAACAGTCACAAGTCGACGCCATCAGAGTTCCACCGTTGAGACAGTCAGCTTCCTTCAATCTGAGTACAGCAACCGAATAGTTCGAATCCTGTATAGGAGCTCCTACAGGCAACAGCTTCCCATCTGGCAAGCCTCCTGCATCTCATCGCCACCCTTGGCTGGGCACCGCTTACCTCCGTTACGAGGCAGTGTCGAGATACTAAAGTACCGTCGCCTCTGACAGTCAGATTGGCATTCACTCCATGGACCCCAATCGCCCTGATAAAAGCAGAGTACTCCGTGGTAGTAGTATGAGAATAACTCACAATGCAGTCAATGCTGCCTGAGGAAAGCTCACACGCCGGCTCCCCAGTGGCTCTACTCACGTCCGACCAAGTCCCAGACCGACACGAACAAAACCCTGTCCTTGCATCACACTGCCCGACTGGACAACCTAAGTCAACCATAATAAGCTGAGCTCTCATAACAATAGGGGGTACCTTCACAGGGATCCCTAGTGCAGTAGACCCCATTAAGGGGACCATTGTCAGGGCCCTCGTTGGTCCACCCATTGACACATCGACACCCGTCATCCACGCAGTTTCCATGACCGTTACAGCGGCTCTAAGACACTGATACACAACGAGGAAACAACAACAGCCCACCCACCTCTGAGCAATCAGTCTTCTCGAGCTCACAGTTCTCACCAGAGAAGGCCCCCTCGCACTTGCAGACCCCCGTCGCCACGTCACAGGTTCCTCGACCGTTACAGTCTCTGAACGCTAGGATGAACAGCAAGACAACCACGGGTGTGACAGTCACCTGCCCATACACTTCTTGCAGTCACCCCAGCTGCACATTTCAGTGCGACTCTTGCCAGCAGGATGCTCACACGGCGTTCCAGACCCACGTACCGGCTGAGACAGTAATATCTTTCCATGTCTAACGAGATCCATCCAAATTCACCTGGAAGATCTTGAAGGTCATCTCCTGCATGCATTCATCATTGCATGTACTACCGACCCATTGGCCTACGCAGTCTTGTACCTGTGGACGCGCTACAACGACCACTGATGAATATACGTCAACAGTGCCAACAGTGTAAAAGAGCAAAACGACGGCAATGACAAAATTAACTGCAATCTCAACGACCTGCTCATAACAACACAGTAGTAACAAACACACAACGTTAGTAGCATTGACAACAACAAGTCGGAGCTCCTCCTCCTCTTCTTCCTTCGAGCTTACCTCCTGGTCACACTTCCCACCTAGTCCAGGCGTGCTCCGCTCCCAACCCTCCTCACATCGACATTCGTATTGTCCATTGCCAGATACGCAGTTGCCTTTCCCACAGTCACGAACTCTCCAATCAGTTTCATCTGAGGAACCGAATGTCATCATCATGAACAACGGTTACGTGGACAGTTTACTTTCAAGTAGGATCTTCTCGAGACACATGTTAGTGGTGGTCTCGCAGTGAATGCCGAACCATGTAGCCTGGCATTGGCATTCGTAACCAGTAGGCTTGTCAAAGTTCTCCACGCATTCACCAAACTGCCCACACGGTTTAGTACGACACCTAACACATGATCTCCCTGACCGCGCGCCATGAAATTGATCCAACACTTACGGGTCAGTGCGAGTGTCACAATTGGGCCCCTCATAGCCCGGCATGCACTCACAACCATTGGCCTTGCACGTGCCCTTCTCACAAGCAACGATCTTTCCACAGACAAACTCCGGCATTCCGTCCGTCGACATGGTGAACCCAGTGACCGCCATCGCCTGACATCAATACTCTATGGAGCTCGGAAATACCAATTGTTATACTCAAAAACTTCGTTACTATCACTAACTACACCCAATGTGAGATTAACGAAGACGCGCCAGCACAATGCAGATATTATCACTCTACCACAAATATGCATCCCCAGTTTTCAAGTCAGCTAAGACATACTCAGCGTAGACACCTCTACATGGAGGTTCATCAAGTAAGTACTCCTCTTCACGACAAACATCCTCGAGCTCGAGTAAGTTCACTACACAAGGTGCGCGCGTGCTGTCCCTACTGCAGCACAAGGGATCGCCAGGACTAATACCCTGTCCCTTTGAATTCTTACCCTACGGCCCCCCAACATGGTGCCCTCCAGGAACTTATCGCTGCCAACAATGAGTTTAGATGATTCCCACGGTTTCTCTGGTAAGTTGCTCTTCACCTGTGATCGACCCAACTATATATGCCCCAAGAGAACGGCTAGTTTCTCACCGATTCAATGGATGGGACCTTGTCCATATTCCAGGCATCCTTCAATCCCCCCAAGGCCTTGTTCATTGCCTCCTCTCTGGCCGCTGCCGGGGACTCTATGTTAGTCGGACCGAACATGTCATTGTCGAAAGAATAGTTCCCAGCCAGGATCTGTGCCACGATGTCAGGATCGGCCTGCAACAACAATACCACTATTGATGTTCCCAACGACGCCCTACCCTATATCCCATATCGATTTCCATGAGGTTCTGAGGACTAGCCGTCCCCCCGTCAGCTTTAATCGGGCGAGCGCTAAGCATCCACCTGTGAAGAACAGTGACCATCGTAGAGTTAGAGAGTAGCCGCACCTTATAAAGCTGGAGGGCATGGCACTCTCCTTGAGTCGTCCGGAACAAGTGTTGAGCTCCTGTCGCCTCGAAGAGTCATCGCCAGTCTTGATCATGAAGCCCTCCATTGAGCTCAGCATGCACTGTTGGACATCCTTCACACTGAATAACCAGGCAAACTTCGTTCACTCCTATACCGCCGTTCGGTCCGTCTCACCTAGCTATGGTGTTTTCAGCCCTAGTCTGCTCATCAGTATCATAAGTAATGTTCTTCACTTGGTACACGGTATCGATCCCATACGCCTTCACTTCGGCTGTGATCAGCTTCGTACCTGCGACCACACACTACAAGAGGCCCAGCGCTGCAATAGACCTACACTGTATATCAGGAATATCGAGGAGTTTCCTATTGGCTTCCATGTCTTGATCATTCTCATTCTGTCCAGTGGCTGCCGCCGCCCGCCTCGCCGCCTCCCTAGCGTGGGAGCGCCACCGAACACCAATGACCACATCCCCCGAGTCACAGTTCACTGTCTGGCAAACAACGAGCAGATCACAACTTCGCCCTCCTGAACGAGACAAGGCTGCCTACCCGTGAGGCACCGTTAAAGCCGTAGACCTCTCGCCAATACGACTGCGTGCCTTTATTAATGTGTACCTGATCAGTAGCAGCCCAGTGACTGCCACAAGAGGCCCTGTGTCGATCACCCCAGCCGTCAGGGCTCCAAAGAGAGGCCAGTAACCGGTGGTCTTCGTCCCAGTGACGGTGTTTTCTTTAACGACTCTGTCCATGCCAACCAAGGGGAACTTCTGGTCGTATACACCATCAACACTGTATGAACCAAGATTAGGGCCGAGAGGCATCGACGAGGTCCTCAATAATGCATGGACAAACTGAGAAATGCAACTTGTGGGAATTGAACCCGCGACCAGGTCCCTCACCGAGCTGGGGTCAACCGAGTCATGAATAGTAGAGTCCAGATCATAAAGCCTAGGGCCTCCAGAGGGAAGCTGTTCCTCGTCCGGAGCCGGACGATGCGCCGGGGGTAAAGATGACCGCCAGTACTCATCCACCTTGCGTGTAGAGGGACCAAATGATTCCTGAAGTGCGAAGCGAGTGGTATGAAAATCTTCACTATAACAACTACGCATACCTTCAAATGGAAGTGAGCTCCTGGAACGAAAATGGACCCCTCTGAGGAGGCCTCCAAATTGGGGGTACTATCGTCTCTACTCCGCCTCATACCTGAGCACCGGGGGGGATACTCCCACAATATAATACTCCCGTCCCGTTGGCACTACCGGAAGCAGTTGCCACGAGGATCGGCCAGACTAGTCGCCATCGTAGTAAAGACATAAAATAAATAAGTGTAAATGGCTAGCGATAGTATGTGTAGGTTCTAGTATTCAATTCGAGAGGATGATAACAAAGTTGGAATCGCCCTGGGAATCGTTGAAACGCTACAGCGATAAGCACTTAGCACGCACACATACATGCCTCAGCTGTTCACGCAGTGTCCTTTCTTCATGGCAAAGGATGCCAGTCGCATCAACTTGCAATTTGCGACATTGCACCACGGGATTCAGGTAGCCCCCAGATGAAGACAATGACCACTTACGTCACAGGAGGCCGATGGCATCGTCCCGGAAGCCGTCTCTGAGGAGGATCACTCTGTGGCTCTCGAGCTGAACTCAACCCGCACAACCGATGGTGGTCCTGATTGTGGAGAGTGGCTCGATGATCATTTGGAGGGCAAGAAAACTCCCCTCTGGAATAGCTCCGACATGTTGGGACGACTTCGCGGTATTCTCCAAACCATCTTGGCCGAACGATCGCCACTCGCCTCTCTAGTCTCCACACCACGATTGGGCATCCCGCTGACCGAGTCAGCCGAGCCGCGCCGCCGCCGGTGGTCCCTCCGATTCAATGTATCGCCCTCCATGTCAGCTCCCCCCTGATGTCCCTCAACTCGAAGCCAACTATCGTTAACTTTATGTAGGGCCTCCCACAATAACGCGTTGCGTTGTCTATACACCTCCCTCTCTTTGGTCACCTCCGACACCATCTTCGCGAGTTCCACCACAGACCGCTGGTCGGCGGCAGCATTCGTCAGCGATTGACGAGCCGACTCTGGCAAGTGGTCGCTAAGCTCCGCCACCTGTTGGAACCTTTCTGTCATCAGCCTCCGACTTTCCCTGGCTTTAGCATCTGTCTCTCGTTTGAGTCTCTCCAGTCTGACTGTCATTTGCCTTATGCGCGCCTCCTTTTCCTCTAAAACCATCAAGGGGTCTTTCGGTTCTGATTTCACCGGCGTTTTGGACACACCGTGGAACGAGTTCGTCTGGTCTACTTTCGAAATCTCCTCGACCTCGACCCACAGAGGCGAGCTCCCTATATGTTCCTCATTATAAAGCAAATCGATCCGTCCTGGACCACCAGCAACTATGGTGAATGCCACAACGAATATGCCCGTTTCACAGTCCGTGACATCGGTCACTCTGACTGCCCCCACAGGACGGGCTCCGAAGACACCGCTGGAGTCGTAGGATCGATTCCCACACGCGTCACAAGTCTCCACCCAAAGCTCATGTGTAACTCCTATGGCGGTATCAGGCAAGACCAGACTCGAGCCATCCGAGGTAGGTACCACCGCGCCAGAGATTATCTGACAGCATTGAGCCTCGACCTTTCCTGGGCGCACGACTACATCGAATGGGCTACCACATACGTGACCTCCATTGACAGTAACGTCGAGGAAGTAGTAGCCAGGCCGAGCACAGTCATATCGCAGCTTGTAAGAGCCGTCCTCACAGTCCATCGACCATGCCTTGTACTCACCGATGGCCAGAGTGACATCCTTTGGTCGCAGCAGAAGTGATACGTTATTACCTCCCACGGGTATACGGTAGCGATTATGGTTCACCGTGTTGACAGTGAGCTCGAGCATTTCACCACAGAGGCCACCGCCGACTCCGGGGCCATAGGCAAGGCACCGTTCGGGCCAAGGAACAGTACTCCAACGACGACCCGTCTCGTCCAAGTAGAAAGTCTGTCGCGGCGACTGGCCCGAAAGCCCTTCAACTTGGCTGAAATCCAGAAAACATGTTCACTTCAGAATCAGTAGCAGCAGCAGGGACTCACTCCTCCACGTCCCCTTGCAGGCCGCCATCAGTGGGACTAATGGACCGCCATACGGGTTCGTATCGATTCCTAGCACCAAAGCTAGCAGGAACTGCAGCATTAGCTGCCATCTGGTCAGTAAGCCGCTGACCCTCGTCCTGGCTAAACTCGGGTGGCATCGATGGTATCTTCTCGCCCTCCATCTCCTGCTGAACTGTCGTGACGGCTCGTCGTACTAAATGACGTAACTTCGTATCCGTTTGTAACATAGGGTAGAGGAAAACTCTAGGGTAGAGCTAAAACGTAAGAAGTTAATCCCCTTCCCTCCAATGGACGACACCGACGATGGACACGCACTACCGCTGTAAAGCACAGTACCCTATTACAACACAAAGCTGTCCAGAAGGGTTGTGTAGGAGGCACAGTTGGCACTATTATGGCATGTGATAGGGACAACAGCAGCTGTTGCTGCTGCGTCATCATGTGGTAAGAAATGATCAATTATCATGTAAAGGGCAGTTGACAGCTTCCAAAGGCGGGGCTTTAGCCAGATAGAGCCGAACGAAGTCCTCTGCAGAAATGCCTCGTTCAACAGTATCTACCAGCTCAGGGAACGCCTCGAGCAACACATCTACAGCGTGCTCCACCGAGACGATATTAGGCTCAAAGTCGACCAAGTCTTTGGGGGATATATATCCATCACCATCTATGTCCATCATGTCAAAGGTTTGTAACGCTAGGTTTTCACTGAGATCCGTATCACACAGTGTTGCGGCCATGAACTCATTGTAATTGAGGGCGTCGTTGTTGTCCAAGTCAACTCTAGCAAACACTTTACGAAGATTGCTAGACGCTCTCACTCCAGCTCTTCTCAGACCGTCCTCCAACTCGGCGAACGACACGTAGCCATCCCCATTCTGATCAAACATACGGAAGGTGTGCTGCTGAGCCGCTACTGAGTCGTCGTCTATCAGGTGGGCTGCACTCATCATAGCCATCCTTTTCAATGTCGGCAGACGAGTGAACCGCTCCATTCGCTCAACACAGTGTGAGTCAAAGAGATGGGCAAATCTCATGTCAATACATATCGTGTCACCATCACTAGCCTCGCCAGCCTTGCTCAAAATACTGCGGATAAATGGGTGCTTCAGTGCTTCCTCCGGGGTAATACGTTTGCGAGGATCCCTCTCAAGAAGTCGCCTAAGAAGATCCTTAGCGTCCACAGACTTATCCACCAGACTTGGGTTCTTCAAACGCCTCTCGAGGAAATCAGCATCGAGGACCTCGTCCAAGATCTCGGCTGGGGAGTCCGCACAGTCAGCACCGAACAAAGGCTCCCCTGTGAAGAGGGCATACGAGATGACCCCCAAGGACCACATGTCCGACGCTGTACCTAATACAACACCCTTGATACAGGGGCTGCAAGGAGGCATACTCCCACCATAGAAGCCATCAGCGACGACCTCTGGTGCCATATACGCTGGTGTACCCGCTGTGGCGTTGTCCTCTTCGAAGAGTTTACGCTCCAAATCAGCTGCTTCCGAGCTATGCTGAGAACAAGCACTACGAGGTGAGGAAAGACTACGGCTCACAACAAGGGGATACATGTTCGCTTCCCTCGGATGAGCTCAGGAGTTCACATACATTTCGAATACAAGTGTACGAAAATCAATGAAAATTTCCCCAAGTTTCCTCCGAGTTTCCACATTATCACCAAACATGTAGTTGACCATATGCATATTTCCCCCCGACACAGACTACTCACCTCAGCTAAGCCCAGGTCTATCATCTTGAGGGACGACCTGGCTGTATCCTTCGAACGGAACATGAAGTTCTCAGGTTTAATATCCTTATGTATAATATTGTTGTGATGACACCCCACAACAGCCTTCAGCATGTGCCGCATAATAGTAGCTACCTCTTCCTCCTAAAGAGGAACTCCTCGAGATCCACTGGCCATGCCCCGTCCTACCTGAAAGCCGTTCTCTCTACTCTCGAAGACGTGGATGATGTGGTCGAACAGATCTGGTCCCGCACAGAGCTCGAACACTAGGTAGTAGTTAACTTCATTTTCAAAGTACTCGATCAACTTGACTATGTGAGGGTGGTCCAGGGCGAGAAGACTGGCGATCTCGTGCTCGAACACTAGCTGAACTCCCGCGATGCACAAGTTTAGCGAACATACAACTACCTACCTTATCAGTTCCAACATACGTCTTGGGTATCTGTTTCACCGCCCTCTTGGTACCTGTACGTTTGTGCTCAGCTAGAAGGACTGTCCCAAAGCCACCCGACCCTGCAACGACTCAGTTCACTTCTTCGCTTCAGTAAGGGGTGCTTACCGAGCTCACGGAGTACAGCATAACGAGAATAAAACGGGTGAGTATTGCGGCGTATGAAGGAATGCCGTTCAACGGACAAGTCGATAAAAGAAGCCTGAGAGGTAGAAAGCATCTCACACGTCGTTGTGTTGGTAGAATTTTACATGTCGGGTAAAAGTATGAGGTTTGGGTCGATAGAAAGCCTCAGTCTGACAGTAGGTGTCCCGACGACGACCCCTTTGGGCCACATGGACGATGAACCCCATCGATCCAGCGACACCGGCCACCCAATGCGGCCATTGATGCTTACTTCTTAGACGATGCAATATGAGAAGGGCACGAAAATCAAATCAACTGCGGGGAAGTGCATGAGCAATTCCCTTGATAATAAATATCAGATATATACACAGTCTTTCACACCAGAAGTGAAACGTTCGACACCATCACGCACGTAGAGATGACTTACCTATACGTGCTCACTGATGCCCTTTGCAGCATTGAGTGCAAAAACCCTACCAACAACAGATGCAGTAGGATAGCTGTACAGCACCCATCGAGCGTAAAGGCCACAGAAGACTAATGCTGCTGCTCCTGTGCTCACGGCCCTCTACTCAGGATACCTATAGAGGGATGTCTGGGTGATGCAGCTGCACGTGGAATATCATTCTAAATCTCGGGCTACCCAAAGGCATCTGCAGCGAATACCGACCAGAGCCCTAGCAGTGGACGCTCAAACTCAAGAGGGAGGGTAAATCGTGTAGGAGCCGAGAATATCTGCGCCTTGATCACCCACTATACCTAGTACTCCTCGCTGCTACGCCTTCAATTGCACCATAGATGTGATCACCGCCAGCCGTCTGGTTCATTAGAGGGTATCTCCGGTAGAATGCCCGTCCAAAACCTAACCCAAACTCGCTTGAAGGGAGATAGACTCCAATTGGGGGTAGTGTAAGCCACGTATGTCGGCCACACGTTATGTTCGCACTCTAACTCTGGGTGTCCACCTATGAAATGGAGGAATTACGGTATGGGTGAGGTCCTTGACTCTGCGACCAGCAACCAGATGGTATTCCAAGTATGCTGCAGAGCTCGCTCGTCTACTGAGGTTGGACACCACCTGCTAAGGAAGAGCCTTCTCTACGCCTTGCAGAGTAGAAGCCTCTACCATGAAGCCCGCTAGCGTATCAAAGGGTCTATATGGGAGAGGGATCGACCTCGAAAACAAGAGCGAAGTAGTTGCCGAGGAGAAATGATCAGCCTAGCAGCAGCTTCCTGATCGTAGCTGTTCAGGACGAAGAAGTCCTCAAGATATTCTCTCAAGCTGATGCCCAACTTACTACGATTGTTCCATTCAACTGTCCACTACGTAGAGAGGGAGACAACGACGAGTTGCTTTGGTAGTGCGCTGAATGTCGCGCCCGCCCATCTGATCGATTTTGAAGCTCAAGACTTGCAATCTTGGCAGATTCGAATTTTCATCGACCAGTAACGCCCGCCACTGTAATCGATCTATTCGCGAAGGTATTATCTCGCGACCGTGCCGGTTAGGAGAAGGTAGACGAGGTGGTCATTGCTGAAGTGTAACCAGCACGCTGTAAGTGACCATCTAGTCCACTAAGACGAGGAGCTTCCCCTAAGAATTTCTTCAATGCCTGGAGTCCAGTCGACACCCTTCGAATCAAGGGAGAGGAAGTTGAGATTCTGCAGATTCTCAACACAAGCGTCTTATTTCCGTGCCACCAAGTAGCGTCGGTTGATGAAAGAATTTTGGTAACATTTAAGGTTGAACCTTGTTTGCGTCATTGTGTGACTCAACACTGTGTCGTGTCCCTTTATCGTCCAAGATTCCGCTCGTGTCGATCCCTAACTCGGGATTACTACCAACAGCGGCTAACAGAAGGCTAAGGTTGAAACCTTCATGTACGTGTCTTGAGCCAACTAGACTCGCTGTTCGTCCCGAGTAACTTGGACAGCGCTACTACGTGGGCATGAGAGGAGTCGCAGAGGGCGCTGGGATAATCTTGTACCGCATTCCAGTTGGTGGTCAGAGGCTCTACTCTGAGATAGTGAGTGACAGTAGCAATTACGTAGGGAGATTCGCGTGGAGTATGCGGGGATGAGAAGACTCTATCGTATATTCGGTGAACAGGTCGTGTATGAGGTGTTGTATTGGATGGTGTCCCCGAGGGATGACTGAAGATTGCTAAAGATTACAAGCAGTTTAGCGGTTAAGCATGTACAAAGCGTAATCGATCTCACGTCAGTTCATAGCTTCTGAGCACTGAGAAACCATATGTACCAGATAGTCTTCCAAGCACTTACTCGCCAGCGGACATCGAGCTCTCGGGACTTGTCAACGGTTGATGGAAACCTTACCTTACCTGAGCTGAGCTGCGCATCGCACAATGAGTGATGGTGTTGTTATATGGTGTTATCAGCTAGCATTTGTGTTATTGAAAATGATGATACCTGCAATGATGCTGTCCAGCGGTAACGCAATCCCTATGGTTGGTTTCGGCACCTACAGAGTGGGTGTAACGCCGAAGTCTGTTTTTGAGGTGGTCTCAACAGGGAGAGACGGAAAGGCTGTTATCAAGAACGCTATAGAAGCTGGTTACAGGTAGGGAGGGTTTGCTTGGTCCTTGCTGCTCGTGGTGATTATCATAACTGTAGGCTCTTCGACTGTGCCCAGTTCTACTTGAATGAAGCTGTCGTTGGCGATGCCATAGCGGAGAGTGGTATTCCCCGACAGGAGTTCTTCATCACATCTAAGGTGTGGCCTGATAAGATCTTTAAAGGCCGTCAGGCTGTTATTGACCAGTGCAAGCAGTCGTTGAAGGATCTGTGAGCAGCTACTGTCTACTACTGTTTATTAAGTCCTTTACCTTCAGTCGGACCTCTTACGTCGACTTGTACTTGGTTCACTGGCCTGTCCCTGGCAAGCATGTGGAAGCTTATCAAGCTCTAGAGGACTTGTAGGAGGCCCTACCACTGTCATAATGTGACCGAGGAGTGGTATGCAGGTACAAGGAAGGTCTATGTCATTCTATTGGCCTCTCGAACTACACTATAGAGGACTACGAGGAGCTCATACAGGCGGGGATTTCCATCCCTCCCTCCTGCAACGAGATTGAAGTGAATCCTTTACTGTTCAGTGAGTCATCAACTGGCACATCTCATTTGAGTTGCACCCCTTCCCTACAGGGAAGAAGACTATTGAATACTTCCAATCTAAGGATATCGCTATCCTCTCCTGGCGTGGTCTCGGTAATGGCAGACCTGAGTTGCTCGAGCATCCGGTCATTACCAAAATCGCTAATGATAAGAAGGTCACCACAGCCCAGGTGGGATGACTCAACCTTCTTAGTGGTGGATTGTATTGGTTTTAGGTTATTGGCCGTTGGTTGGTACAGCATTCGATTGTCCACATACCCAAAAGTGAAAACCCCGAGCGGATGAGAGTCAACAAGGACATATTCTCATTCGAGCTATCATCAACCCAAATGGCCGAGATTGATGCTTTTGGCTTGTCCAAAGAGGCCATCGAAGCCTTCCGTGAGCACTACAAGTAAGGAGGTGTTGGGGTGAAGCAGCTAATGGGCTTAGTTTAAGTCGCATAGTTCTAGGTTAGTTTTATTGGAAGAGTCTCTTAGTCGGGAATATACTCCGTAGCAAGTGAGTTCACAGCTTAGTATGCAATGATTTTTTCGAATTGGGTCCCGATTTGGTTCGAACCAGAGATCATTAGTTCTGTTGATCAAGCCTCTCATTATTTCATTAAGACAGCTGCTTTGTTGTTCAGGGTCAACAGCACTAGAGACTGCGGATTAACGGTGGCCGATGCAAGGCAGCAATTCACCAGTGATTGACTTTAGTACGTGTTTTCCCACCATCTTTTCGCTGTTTTCTCTCATTATCCTGTTGCGTTGTGTGAATAGATATTCGGTTTGTTTGTACTCGTTACAGACTTCCTGACTTTACTTTAGCCAGTCTGCCGTCTATGGATGAGAGGGTTAGAATAGGCACTCAACTTGTTACGAATTTTTGGTGTATAGGAGGATATCAGGTCGTTCGTGAGGTTGGTCTGTACGAACAGTAGGAAGGTATTGGCTTGTGGCACCACCAGTTGTTTCGGTGTTGCTAACATGAGAATACCGACCAAGGTATTGTCTAGTGGTAACTCCATCCCTATGGTGGGGTTGGGCACGTTTCGGATTGGTATAGCGCCGAAGTCGGCATTTGAAGGGGTTCCATTAGGGCGGGATGGCAAGGCTGTTATCAAGGATGCTATAGAAGAAGGCTACAGGTCAGGTTCAACTTTGTATTATTCTATCAACAGTCATAATTGTAGGCTCTTTGACTGTGCCCAGTTCTACTTGAATGAAGCTGTCGTCGGTGATGCCATAGCGGAGAGTGGTATTCCCCGACAGGAGTTCTTCATCATATCTAAAGTGTGGCCTGATAAGATCTTTAAAGGCCGTCAGGCTGTTATTGACCAGTGCAAGCAGTCGTTGAAGGATCTGTGAGGAGCTACTGTCTACTGCTGTTTATTAAGTCCTTTACCTTCAGTCGGACCTCTTACGTCGACTTGTACTTGATCCATTTTCCTGTACCGGGCAAGCATGTTGAGGCCTACCATGCTCTGGAGGAGCTGTAGGAGCCTCTATTATGGTGGTGATGTGACAGAGGAGTGGTATGCAGGTACAAGGAAGGCTTGTGTCACTCTATTGGCCTCTCGAACTACACTATAGAGGACTACGAGGAGCTCATACAGGCGGGGATTTCCATCCCCCCTTCCTGCAACGAGATTGAAGTGAATCCTTTACTGTTCAGTGAGTCATCAACTGGCATATCTCATTTGAGTTGCATCCCCTCCCTACAGGGAAGAAGACTATTGAATACTTCCAATCTAAGGATATCCCTATCCTCTCCTGGCGTGGTCTCGGCAATGGCAGACCTGAGATGCTCGAGCATCCGGTCCTTACCAAAATCGCTGCTGATAAGAAGGTCACCACAGCCCAGGTGGAATGACTCAACCTTCTCAATGGTGGATTGTATTGGTTTTAGGTTATTGGCCGTTGGTTGGTACAGCATTCGATTGTCCACATACCCAAAAGTGAAAACCCCGAGCGGATGAGAGTCAACAAGGACATATTCTCATTCGAGCTATCATCAACCCAAATGGCCGAGATTGATGCTATTGGCTCAACCAAAGAAGCCGTGGAAGCGTTCCGTCAGCACTACAAGTACTGGACGTGTGCGGTATAGAAGGGTGTTTCTCATAGGCCTATAGGATGCCCTCTATCTCGAAGTACACATTGTATATGTGGCATGTCTTCCGTGAGCAGTGTAGGACAATATGTATAGGGTCAATCGCATGTGTTGATGACATTCTGAGGAAACTCTGGGGGAAATTGAATCCTTGGTTTCTGTACACTACTCCTCGAATTTGTATAATTAGTGAGGAAATTCCCGAGCTCATCTGAGGAGAGCGATCGTATATTCCAACACTGTTCTCAAGCCTAGTCTTAGCATGATCACTCAACATTGATTCTATGTGTTGTCACTGTTGTGAGAATCGTGATAGCCCAGGCCTCGGCGATGTCGCATCGAAGCTTTATTCATTTAGGTTCAATACTACCAGAGACTGCGGATTGACCGAGGCGGACGCCAGGCAGCAGTTCACTTGCGAGTAGTTGGTCTCGATCATTTTTTCCATGAGCTTTCCTTGATTTGGTATCAGCTTGTTGTGTCGATAGAGGTCGGACCTGCTTCTACCAGCTATAAATTTTTCAATTCGTCCCATGCCTGGCCGTACTGTGGCCAGCCCGCCGCCGTCGCCGGCTTCTACGGCATCTACTGAGGAGACAGTGAGTCCTTCACAGAGGTTCAAAAGGGATACCATTGGACCTGAGGACACGTCAGAGTTCACGATGGACGAGGTTCGGCGTTACGGCTTCATCGTCATTGATAATATTATATATAACGTGACTGAATGGGTGGCTCATGGGGGACATCCAGGTAACACGAATGGGTCATCTCGGTGGAGGTGGGAGTACGTGGCATCAGTTTTGGAGTATATGTTTGGTTCCCTCAGCAGAAATTTAAAATTTCATGATTACATTATAAAAGTTACGACTCTACAAAGGGTAGAAGTATCACCTCTACGAGAATTCTTCCATTGTCACCAACACGCGTAGTTGAGCATGTGATTACTTGCCCATACGGTTTGCCATCAGGTGGAGAAGTCCTTCTGAGCTGCCTCGGGCGTGATGTGACCTCTCTCTTCCGGGGTATTCATCACCCTGGTATCGCCAAGCACTACCTCCCACCTCTGGCAATTGGTCGACTTAAGGACCCTTCTATTGAAGACAAGGCAGAAGCTGACTTTGCAGCACTGGAAAGGCATGTTCGGCGCTTAGGACTCTATGAGCAGAAGTAAATAAGGTTGATACTCAGTGGTATACAATAACTGAGTATTCAGGGTCTCCTATTACTTCGGCCGTATCGCCATCGTTATGGCCTTCCTTTTACTGGCACTGACAAGCCTTTGCCTGGGCTGGACAATGCTAGGGGCGATAGCTCTTGGTGTATCCTGGCAACAGGTAGTAGCATTTCAGGTTGTTGCGGTCTTGCTATGGTGCAGTTCGTTGTTAGGGTGCCTTCATTGCCCATGATGCATGCCATAGAGGCTGCGGTAGTGGTGATGGTAGATCCCCTTCTCGAATCGGATGGTTCATCGGTTCGATACTGTTTGGTATATCATCTAGCATGTGGAGTGAGGAGCATGCCGTAAGGGGCTATCCCTATACCTCTTCCACTTGAGGGCGGCCCTTAGGCCCACCATTGCTTCCCCCGACGTCCCCGTGAGGATCCTCAGTTCAACTACCTGCCGACCTTTCTAATAAGTCGCAAGGAGTTGCCGTACTCCAACAAGTGGGAGGAGCTCATAGCTGGAGTCATCGTGCCGGTACAGCACTTTGTCCTGGCCCCTGTTGCGATGACCATCGGCCGCTTTAATTTTTATATCATCAGTTTGATCTTTGTAAGGCACCCTTAGTCGGGACTGGGTGTGCACTGGAATCCGTTCAGTCGTGTAAGCGTGCATTACAGTACTACATCAAGGGTCAGTCAATCCCTCTGCACTGCTGCCCTCTTGCCGACCTATGTGGTATGTCACTCTTCTGGCTATGGTAACCACGCCCTAGAGAATCATCTAAGGTAGTCTTCGTGGTGGTGTCAGGTACGGCTGCCTCCTGTACCAGTTGGTACCGCCCAGCGATCGTCTCCTCTTTCTTCTACTCTCCAACTGCACAGCTGGGGTCCTGCATGTAGGCATCTATGAGTGTGTCTAGGCTAACGTAGTGTTATCAGATCCAACTCTTAGTCTCGCACTTAGCCGTAGACTGTTACCATTCCGATGAGGAGCCAGGCTGGTTTAGATTGCAATGCCATACTAGTAGAAATGTTGAAACCCGAGCCCATTGGCTGTGGGGAGGTACTACTACAACACTTACCGTCTTTTACGTGACTTGGGAGCTCCTGTATTAGGGTTGGAGTACCAAATCGAGCATCATCTTTTCCCACGGTTGCCGAGACATGCGTTGCCGGCAGTTCAGCCTTTCGTGATGGAACTATGTGGGAAATACGGAGTACCATATCGGTCTGAAGGAGAAGTGAAAACGCTGACTTTGGTATTGTGGGAAATGGGGAGGGAGGAGGGACTTCATTTTCGTGACAGATTTTCGAAGATCTTCGCAATTTGGCAACCGTCGCGACCGAACCCGTCTAACGACAGAAAGCACGTAAAGTGAAGCTACAGTGCATGGATCATGTTGTAGTTGATCGGCTCTATTGAGCCCATAAGCCTATTTTCTAATAAGGGCATCAGTGTCGTAATCAACCGCTCTGAACAACTGCCCTTCACCACTACTACCAGTGCCGTCCCTGCAATGTGATGATTACCCCTACTCTGTCGATTTGAGTTGAAGTTCTTACACCCGCTCCAGTGGATAGGAACCTAGGTCTGGAAGCCCTTGTGGAATGGCTGCGGCTAGGGACCGTCCCGGCCAGCCTACTTGTCAATTCCAAACTGGTGCACCCCGTTTTTGAAGGCTGGGAATGCCAGGATTTCCTCAACATGTACGGACATTGTGGTCTGGGTACTAGGCTTGTTGGGTGAGGAGTCGGAATCGCCCGAAGCGGCAGGGTTGTATGGGCGCAGCAGCCAGAAGTCGTGATTTCATCCGTTGCTTCCTGGCCGTTTCCGTACTGATAGAAACTATGTCATCGTGGTTAGATTGACTGCTGTATACCATTTAGTTGAATAACCATCTTATCTTCGTAGTGGTGCTTTATGGGTTACTCTCTTGCTGTTGCGTTGGACAGTATGTCCATGGCCAGCACAAGGCGTTTCTTATGGCACGCGGGTGCATTACCACTCCACGGGAAGATGCACGACTGAGGCGGACAGTCGAGAAGGGAAGCCGCATCGCCTGGCAGGAAATGCACAAGGACGTGGAATGTATAGTAGAGATGTATACCACTCCTTTTGAAACTTAGTACATGGGCACCGAAGTCAGATATGAGATGTTGTGGCGATATGGGAAGAACCAAGTGAAAGGGCGGCCTTTTTATAATGACTTAGGCTTCGTCATTCCCCAGTAAGATTGGCATGCACGCTGATGACGGCCCTCTGTGGTGACAGGTCTGTGGTCCTCCATCGAGGTGTGCTCAAAGCGTGGTACTTCATGTCGGCCGACGGGGCTTTGCTGTTGAGGAAGAAGGCGGAGAATTTGAGAGTAAGAGCTGGGAGGTGACTCGGCCAGTACTATCTTAGATTAGCGAGGTGGAGAGAGAGTTCTGCAAGCGGAGAACGTGGTCGGCGGGGGATGGGCAGGTATAGCCACGTTACCGACTTATGGTGATTTTTACTACCACACCTTCTTCAACTTAAGTCGAAATGGTGGGACCTCAATTCAAACTTCAGGTCAGGCATTTGAACCCAGCCAACTTCAATCTGAAATTAATTTTTCAATATAAAATGTAGAAATTTCAAGGCTTCGCTTGATCCTCCCTTCGCATAGCGATTGTAACGCTAATGTCAGTGTGATAGAACCAGACTTCTGGTCTGCTGCTGGTGAGGGTACCACACCACATGCTTAGGTGGTGGCGGTTTGGATACCAATGGCCAGTCCGTTTTCCGAAAACCGGACCAAGACACCTCGAGTGGAGTTTTTGACCATCCCTCGACTCAGGTTGGTACACTTGGTCCCGACCAAACCTCGTCCACCTCCGCCTTAGGAGCTTCCTCCACGAAGGCTTGGCTAGACTCGACAGTCCTTCCGGCCTCTTGCAACAGTTCGTGCAGCCCCTTGGGGTCTCCAACTTCCTCATACGAGCAGTGAAGTACGCCGACTTCACAACTCTAGCCGTTCGAACAAATAGGTATCACAAAGGCGCTCAGAGCAAGTGACGATCCATGTCTCTTGTCAAGATATTTGTTGTCCCCATACCACTCCCCCTCCACTTCATACGAGGAACCGCATGACACTCCAACTTTGCCTTCATCACTCAACGGAGTCGCAAGGTCTCCCTCTGTCACTAGTGTGTTCAGTAGATGTGCGACCTTCGAGGGTTGGGATGGTAACCTGCACACTACGACTGCCAATGCCATCCCTCTTCAAGCCAGGTTTGTCCTCCCTTAAATCGCATTATTCCCATCACAGTGTCCCCGGCATCAACGATAAGATCCTTGCCGCGGCGAATAACATCTTACACCTTATAGATCGAAAACGGATCCACGAACTGCTCTTTCTAGACCCCGACCAGTAAGCAAGGAGCGCCGCTTTTGGTTTCTGTGCGGGCCCCGGAGGTACATCGCGGTCCACTTCAAAATAGACCAACCCACGAAAAGGCTCCACTTCATCTACGCCTCCGTCGTCGACAAGATGGATGTCTTGCAGCAATGTGAGGAGAAGATGGTCATGCTGGATAGGGCGGTCACTGCTCCTTTACCCCGCCTGAAGCTGCTCCCGGGTGCTTCTATCACTTGCTGCACTACCCCACCCATTGTGCCATTCAGGCTGCGGTCGGTCGACCACAGGAGCGCCTAGACTGCATAGTTCATACCGGGCGGAGCGGAGGGCATCCAGTCGGAACAACCTCGCCAGAGGAGCCAATCTGGTGGGATTCTTCGAGCTCGCCAGGAAACTCGGTGTAGGGTTTGATGAACTCAGGCACCTACAGTGTGCTTGCGTGCCAGGCGAAGACCAGTGTGCCGGTTCCCAGCAGTACCACCACGACTCGCGCCCCCTCCCCGAATCTGGCGACCGCAGCGGTGGCGATCAATCGATGCTAAAGGGGTGCTCGAATGGGTAGCACACTAAGCAACTTTTTCGAGCGGGATTTTTTTCCTGGGCGCGCGCGTTGTGGACGGTCGCATGGATCATGAACACACACTTTGTTGCTCTTGGCGACGTGGTCATCGACCATATCCCTATTCAGGCCGACGTGATGCCTGACCATATATTCGTAAGTTGGAATGGTCTCAATGAGACCCCACTACCCGTGGATGACCGGGAGGAGGACCAAGCTTCCTCCCCGGAAGCCCCACCGTCATCCGAGGTCTCTTCTGAATCGGACGACAATAAAGACGTACAAGTGACCGTACCAAGCTGTCCTGTTGAGGCGACTGGGCACGAGGCTCCCGTTGCACACGAGAGACCGCCTGATGCCACCAATGAGGATGTGGAATTGGATAACGAAAGTGATGATGAGCCCAGCCCTGAGATAACCGAGAGGCAGCTAGAGGCTGTGAGGACAGCTTCAGAGCAAATCCATCTTCATAGGAGCTTCCAACCTAGACCATCTCGGTACAAGTTCGTGTTGTCCTCTGTTTGCTGAGTGTCTTGCTCGATGTCTCAGAGCCAGGGCCCGCTGCAGGTCAGTCAGTTGGGGCCCGCCGGAGATCATCGAGACCGAGAATGGCCCGATCGTTAGTAACGGAGTTAGTGTGGATTGGAAATGGACGGAACAGGTGAGGTCACTGAACAGCTATGAAGATATGGGCAACGCTGTATGTAGGTCGGCTCCTGCCCTCCACCAGTTACCCCGACTACAACTAATGCTGTGGCCATCACTGATGGACGCCGCCGCAACGCTCCGCCTGATGGGGACTTCGACATCGGGGAAGCTGCCTTGTCCAATAGAGTCGACAATGGCGTTGAGAGTCTCATCAAGTAAGGTAGATAAGACTTTTGCTAACTGGTATCTGTTATCGCCAGTCCGGCAGCCCCCATGCCTTCCCCCGTTGGGGACAACACTGACTTCAATGAGCTACTTACGGAGAGACGAGTGAGTCACTGATGGATTTTGCCCAGCACAGCACCTATTGCACAGGTCACTGGGGAGGCCCTGAGGGCTAGGATAGGTACTGGAAGCACGTTTCAGTCAACAGCCGCTACGACTCCGGGGACAGCAACTGGCACTCCAAGCGACTATGATGGACTGGGAATTTACCACAATGTGATTTTCAATGAGGCCCCGGGGCCCAATGTAGACCTCTTGTCGGGTGCCATGACCCCTGACGGATTCGATCTCCTTCAAGACCATGAGCCTAGCGGCCTCGCTGGCGTCTCCTTACCCAATCTAAGTGAGGTATTCAGAAACAGCGTACCCACGCCCAGGGGACTCGAGGACCCACCACCAGAGTGCAGTAACGGAGGTGTACATGACGGTGTGACGTAGCTTGAATGATGCTGTCTGGATAGAGGCGCTTTGGGTTGAGTCAAGGGAAAACAGATTTGACGCGACAGTGGAATCCCCGAGATGCCGGGTCGGCTGGTAGCAGCGAGAGACAGTCTAATCGCTGAGATCACAAAAGCTCGAGTACTGGACCCATCGAGACCCAGCCTTACTGAAAGATGTTTCGCGTTATCTCAACTCTGGCGTGGAGGCCGTGTTTGAATCACGTTGTGAAACTAGAACGTATTTTGTCCATCTTGGATGTAATGTAAATGGCAATCATAGTCTTGTTTTTGACAGTGTGATTCTTGGATGGGATACTTTTGCAACCCTGATCGAATATTTATTGTCGAATTGACGAGGAATATAGTATTGATAATAGCGACTCTATTGTACCAATACTATTGAAATTGTTGAACAATGTCAATGGTATTGACACGATTGACAAAGCCAATCCGGAGACAAACATTGTCATACTTGTGTGTTCGCTTGCCCAGGTTACACGGGAAAAGGTGTGCATGGGTACCCTTATGCGATTGGCCCCTCATGGCTTTGCACGAGATGGAGCTGGGCGTAGAGGCATCCTCGTCGATAGCCTCCGCAATCTGCTTCAATCCCTCAGAGCACAATAGGTCCATACCAAAGGAAGGCTCCTTGATCGTAGCTAGTAGTGCTTTGAGCCTTCACTAAACGCTGAGCGGGCCATAGTGAGAACAAGGGGAATATCCGTGAAGGCACTACTTACATAAAGAGCATTCGGCGACTGTCCAAGGCAAAGACAGATATATGATCGGAAACGTCTCCACTTCATGGGAATCATCGAGCGTCAGGGGATACACGTCGTTCAAGCATCTGAATTTCGGGAGTAACAGACTAAGTCTCTGCGTCCCTACATAGAGCTTCGAAAACGCCTTCTGGCCATTGAGCTGATGGCCTAGGTCCAACTTTCGGACCACTTTCCAGTGAAGGAAAACCTCCTCGAAAAAGTGCGGGTCGGCACAGAAACCTCCCGGGCCCTCGCCAACATAGATTAATCGACGTCCAGGGAACACCTTCACGGCCTGATCAAAGTTGTCAACCCCGCTGTGTTGTACTAGAGGCAGTGTACTTTGACTGCCTCAGCGTCATTCCGGGGGTACACTATGAGGAGCGTTGCGTCCTCTCTCGAGCGTTCATGATCGCCCTCGAGCTCTTCCGTGGAAGACACACAGGTCAAGTCACATTTCCGCGATAGTAGCTGCCGGGACCACTTGGCCGTAGCCGAGGCCTGCCCCTCTGCATGGGGGTTCACAACTACTATAAGAGGTGCTAGCCTGATACACTCCTCGAGCGCCTGAGCAAGGAGCCATCGAGGACAAGCTGTGATGGTCGACCTACTTCCTCTGTCCATCGAGCTGGCCCGTATTGGTCAAAGTACTTCCTCGCCTCATCTGCGGTTACTCGCTCATCGCTCGCCACACTCCCTGAAGCGTGCCATGAGAAACGTGTAAATGAGCAGCAGGGGACCTCGGCCGTAGATGATATTGGCCACATCATCAGCACTAGCAGTCGCCATGTCAAGTGCTTCTAGTTGCCGCTCCTAAGACAACACTGAAGGTTCACCCTAGGAGCATAAGTGTAACCTTCTGCCACCGCTCGAGCGTAGCCTCAGCCGGCAGTGGGTCGATGAATTCCGACGTTGCCTCAGGCAGGGCTAGCTGGTGGTAGATCTTTGTGACCATCGGGATCTAGAAAGGTAACTTCCGATGCTGAGGAGTGACTGCCTACCCCATCATGCGTCAATACGAATCCCACTGACATGCAGCTGAAGATAGTGATCACTTTACGAGCAGGGGCAGGTACTAGCTCATGGTACTGGCGGCGCGCCCATGCTGTGAAGGCTCGATGCCGGACACGGAAGGCCATCACTGTGAAGCAACACGACGACCAGCCGTATATTGACAAAGAGAACACAACAATGATGAGGGAGTTGATGAAGATCAGTAATGGCAGTTGGTGGGGGAACAGAATCATTCTGACTTCTTCCCATTATGTTGAGCGCCGTTACCGGTCGGCCCCCGTCTTTGAAGATGTCCCCGCTACCCAGCTGATCAGCTCCAACCGTCATGGCGGCCGACCGTGACCTTGGGGATGGGGAGGCCGGCTAGAAGCAGCCGTGGACAGAGCCGTGTCCTCCCAGCCAATACCACGCCACATCGCCATCATCCAGCCCCGACGGGCAATGCAGCCACATAATGCCGACCGGGGGGGCATCGGCCTCCTCCCACTGTATAGGTCGTCAATCACGAGGATACGACAGCCGTCAGAAACCGTTCCAAATATCTCAGTTCAGTCGGTCTACGACGGCGGCGGCTTCACTCGAAACCAAACCTAGACACTTTCGGGCATATTGCCCGTACAATCTCTGATGCGATTGAGTCGTATTTTTGAATGCCTCTCTCCCACTTGCCACCCTACTCATGAACACAGACCCCTGAAGTCGCCGAAACTGTCAACAGTAGTATAAATGATGGAACTAGGAGTTGGGCTGAGGCTGTACTCTCCGCATAAACTCTCTCTGATTGATATACCGTACCGTCTCCGAGTGTATCACCGCACCCGTCCTCCTCCCCCCATGGGGTTGGCTCGCGCCTATCACAACAATAAGCCGCCGTCCCGTCCCGAGCCGTGACCGCCGCCCACCTCCTATTCTCTGCCGCATGGCTTTCAACAGCTCATAATCACCGTCATGTCGGACGAGGTCGAAGGCATCTCTCAATCTGCGCAGCTGGTGAACGCCGAATTCCCTGGAGCAACATTTCCCGCACCTTGACGAGTTAAAGCCAATACCTCAGTCGTGGCAATATCGCCATTTGCCCGATGAGATTATAAACTTGTTCATCGTATATGTCCATCTGCGCAAGATTGCAAGTGATGTCGCATGTCTGCTGAGGGTTCAAACGGAACCTAAAACCTCCTTTCTGATCAAGGCAGCCAGCATCACCACGTGGCTTACTGTCCAGTCCGTTGCCAGGCAGGAGCAGGGGGCTCCCCAGATAGGGGAGGCGCACCCAACGCGTTCACAGCGTGAGGCCGATAGCTCAGTCTGTCCCGCAACTGACCGAGACTATAATAATTCCCTATGAACCCCACGGTCCGACTCACTTGCGGGAGAATGCCTTTAGCCATGAGGACGTAAGCCGGCGGGTCCTTGGCTTCGTCCGTTTCCATAGTGCCAGGACGTGATAGAGTGCTCTTCTCAGTGGACACTATCCCCATAGACCGGGCTAGGGAGAAGCCCATACATATGTTGGTGATGTCAGGTATAGTTAAACTGATGATAACAAAGGAGTCCCTCATGCCACGCAGTGATCATCTCACTACCTGTCCATGTCCGATCGATACAACGTATCAGCGATGGCACAGTAGAAGGAGTCGAGATCCTTACGGCCGTGTCTGGTAGTGAGCAAGATCCCTATTATAGACAATAGGTCTTAGCCTACTGTATGAACTCCAGAGCATTCTGCCGCTCATGTGAACAGTTACAGCAGCACTGCAATGCTTTGGCTATACCTAGAACACCAAGACATACCACAACAGTTGCAACTCCTCCTCTCACCCCAACACAGATCACAAAGTTGACTAAGCCCAGCTTGCAAGAAAGCATCCGGCCCTCTCCGTCGAGCTTCCCCCGCTAGGGCCAGGACAACCTCGGCCCCGAAGATGACAGGGACCTCCATTTGAGTTTTCGAATTGGCCGGCGTCCCCGACGCGTTTGACGATCTGATCGGATACATTCCGCAGGGGGAGGGGGCCTCCTGGGCAACTCACAGTCCTTGCTTCTGTGAGCTCGTTGCCATAGCGTTGTTGGCGTTGCTGAGCTTATCACAGTGGACACCTAACTTGGCCACTGATACGATGATAGTAGTTAAGTCTAGATTAGAAATCTGGATCGAAATGTGGGAGAACCTGAGAGCGGCTCATGAGCTAGATCGAGGCTTTCAATAGAACTCACCGCTTGATGCCAGTCTTGACAATGTCCGTGAGCTTCCTCAAACTACGGCTCTTGACCAGTGAGAGCATCTCCTGTGGGGTGTGGTAGTACTGGTAAACAAACCCCGTGAGCCGATGAACAGCAGCGGCCATTGCAGAGCCGGGCAAGGAGCCTCCTTGGTGCATGGGCACCTTAGGGTCCAGCTCCTCGACGAACTGAGGCGAAGCGTCAAAAGAAGGATAATGACCGATCATTACTACTACCTGCCAGAACTCGTCTTGGTTTCGGACAATATTTATGCGAGCCGCGATCTTCCTTCCCTCCTCCAAGGCCTTCTCCGTTAGTCTCGGTCGCTAAGGAGTATGACTGATTGAAAGGACTCCACGACTTTCACTGCTTGTGATTTGACATAATTAGCTCACTGATATACGATACCTGCGCTTACCTCAGCAGTAGTAGGAGACAAGGAAGCCGATCTATTATACTCGCCTCTGTTCTTATCGTCCTCACTGGACGATGAGCTCTCGTCAGAGGAATTACTACTCTCTGTTATGCTACTCTCATCCGAGTCCATCCACGCATACCTTCATCATTTCCCATCACGTAAAAAAACTTCGCTCCGCTAGCCCGACCGGCCAGCATTCACTCACCCCAGACTGCTCACCTCTTGCGCCTCTTCGGCTTGGAACGCGCCATGGAGCTGCTACCATCTTTCCGCTTAGTCTCTCTCAGCTTTCCTGGACCCTTTCCACGACTCTAGATTTGACAATAATACGTTTCTCAAGAACCAGTAGTCTCAAGACTACTACCGCTCCGCTTACTTCCGTTTTAGGTGTCTCCCCTCTTTTCTTAGCTGACTTCACCGTTTCACCGCCCTTGGGCTGCTTGTCCTCACTATCGCTCATAATACGCATGTCACTAGACTCCGAACTGACAACCAAACTGACCGTTACCCCGTGGCCCTAGAGTCTGAAGACTGACCTCGTATCATCGTCATACTGTGAGGCTCGCTTCACTGTGGTTTCCCTCTTCCTGGCATCGGCCACTGCAGAAGCCAAGTCGCCGATATCAGAGTCCTCCGACTCAGACATGGTCTCCTTCCAGGTCTTATGAGCATTCTAAATAGCCACACACATCCGTGCCCCATTGCTCCGGCTGGCCTAATGTACGCTGTTGTTGTTCCCTGAAGACCTTCTGGCTGTACCTGTGGGGCCTCTACGACGACCGAGCATGATGACAGGACAACACTACTAAGAGATGAACCATTAAGAGTAAGATACTTCAACTCGACACTAAGGTTCCACTCGTCACACGGACATGCATACCATAGTAAGATTACTCCTTCGGGTGTCTACTTCTGACCCAAAACCCTTTCACCGGACTTAGGCTCTAGCATGGCATGGACAGTAACGCACTTGCCTGAAATAACGCCCTGCTGATCGACTCCACCTCATAGGGCGTACCGTTCTTGCACTTCACAGCAGCAGCATCTCCAGAGAGGTGCTTAGGGTCATCTCCATGTAGTGCCTGACTACTGCCAACCACAGTAGCCGTATGACGAGGCTGACAACGAGAATGAACCTCCGAGTACTATAAAAACCCCTTCACCTTGTGCTGTCCATCATTGACATACGTCTCATGGCTTTCAACACTGCTTGAGGTCTCAGAGATCTTCGCTGGCCCACCGCTAGCAATACGGTTGAAACCAAAAGGGCCATCACCTCCTGAAGTACCATAAGGCCGCCTACTGCAGACGAGGCGGCTACTGTCGTCAAATATCGGTCGTGGTCTTCGTAGCATTCTAAATCCTCTTTCCATTTCATCAAAGATATCCGATCGCATCGGCTGGTCGAAAAAATCATCATCGCCGTCCCACGTACGAGGGGCTATGGGCTGGGGAGGAGCACCTACCAAGAGTCTTACTCGTGACAAGAAAAGGCTCTGAACTCACGCTTGGGCTCCAGAGAGTCCAAAGGGATCGGCTCGCCCTGGGACTCCCCGCCTTGACGGTGCTGTAGCATTCGAAGCATCATATCATCTGAGATACAAGGCTGACATACTGCAAGTAGCCCCATGAGCCTACCTGGGACTTTGAGCCAAAAGTATCCCCTGGTTAGAAGTATGCTGACGAGGGAGAGGACGAAGAAAAAAGCGGTCATTTCAAGTGAATCAATAGCTATCAAATGACCACGAGTACCCAGAAGGTAACAACTCAGCAAGTGGTAGATAGTAATCATTAATCTACGAGGAATGGTAGATGATAACCCAACCGTTATCTCAATAATATTTCAAAATCACAATAGTCTCCTCATCGCTGCCCATACACAACCTCACCCCGAACCATGCAGAGGAGTCGTCTGGTGCCCACGGGCCGGACACCTGGGGGCCAGATGTCCGCTGATGCCCGCATCCGCCTGGCCCGAGCCGCGGCCATGACGACCTCGTCGGGCACGGTACTGTCATCAGCCTCAGAATCTTCTACTTCAGACTGCTTACTACGGCGCTTGAAAGTCCTCGCTTTCCTCCCATCTCGGCTGCCGCCTCCGCTCCGCTTGACCGAATGGTTATTTTTCATCGGAATAGCCCTACTGGTGCCCCTCACCGCAGACCTTTGATCCAAGTCAGACGTATAGTCACTGACTGTATCATCGTCAATGCCCAGCCGCTTCGGTGGCCTCCGGGAGAGTCTCTTAGGTAGACTTCTTGAATTCACTGAAGCCCCTCGGGGTTCATCTAAGTACTCCGAGGTGTCGCTGTCAAGATCCCACTCGTCGTCGTCGTCCTCGTCATCAGCCCTTGAACGTCTGGGCGGAGACCTTTGCCGTTTCCTCGACCTAGGAGTAGTCTTCTTTTTCTCCTCTCGATCAGCCGTCTTCTTATCAGACCCATCCCCCAGCGTCATTACTATTTCCCCCAGATGACATGGGCTCTCCCGACACACCATCGCGAGCAGTAGTCGCAGTTCCTTTGATCGCAGTAAGAGCTCATCGGCTTCAGCGAATAGTGGTAGACAGTCCACGCTCCGAGGCCCTACCATCCCCATGGGCTGAGGATGGGGCTCCACATCCGCGGATACATAGAGGATCCTATCGTCTCCGAAGAGCTTGTTCGTGAGCTCCACACACAGGCGGTTGTCAAGGAAGGTCCATCGAGCCGATACATCGTCAGGCTTCACCGCCCGACGTATCGACTTGGGCACGAGCCTCTCTACATATGTCAACTCCGCTGGCTTCCGCTTCGCCTGACACACGGCCAATGGAAAGGACTCGGGCTCCTCTGGGGCCGATGCTGGTATGTCCGCCGTGCCATCCACTGGGGGGACAAGCCCTTCACCTGACTGGCCGCCTTCTACAGGATTATCCTCCATGAATTGCTGATCGAGCATCGTGAGCCAAGGGGTATGGTCTACCTTCTCCTGTTCGAGACCATCCATCAGGGCCGACCCCAAGGCTAGGGCCTTGGCCATCTCGAAAGAAGGCAGGTTCAATTGCGTAACTGCCGATCCTGGCGAGGACGACATAGTTAAAAAGAAGCGCTGTAACGACAACTCCACGCCCCTCCGGAGAACACAACGACCATAGTGTATCCACAAAGGGAAACGGCATGTTCCTCAACAACAGGCCCCACACGAACTGCTACTGCCACTGCTCGACGAGGCCCCACTTGAGCTTCGAGGCATCTCTATTGTACTAATGCATTCCGCACACACCACCAGCCTGAACCACGAGACCGACCGAGATGCCTTTCGCTGTATCCTCTTCCTCCTACCCACTATTCAAGGGCACCTCCCTGAGGAAATTAGAGCATATATTACACACACTGCCCCCACAGGCACTGCAGTCGGTGAAGGACCGCACCCAGGGGTCATTGAGGGACACACTGCGCTCGCCACAGTACTTGCATCTGCCACCAGCGTTCTCTCCTATAAACGTGAAGGTACTAACCTGGGCTCTGGCAGGGGCCTGCTAGCAGCCATGGTCTTCGTCTCCTTAGAAGTCGATGTGGGTAGTTTTTGGGCAGCCTGCATCAGCTTATGAAAAGTACTCTCTGCAACTGCGACCTTGTCAATTCGTACGTGCTTAATGACCTGTGACACACCACTGCTGAGGAGGCTCTCATGTCACTTACCTCTGCATGGCTGGAGGCCCGACTGCAACGGTCAGGGGTGGTACTCGTGAGGTCAATCACATCCTCCAGAGTTCGCTTCCGAGCCATATCAGACAGAACAAACAACTACTCCCAACATCCCTCCACTGCTGACAGCAAGTCGGTGAACATCCATCGCCTTCAAACACGATATTCACAACAGCGAGAAACGTACACGAGATAATGCTAGGTCTATATGATTCTCATTGAGTACATATGTATAAGTACAGTTCAGTGACCACCACATTAGGCCTGGCCGCCACTTTCCTTGAGCTGTTGGACCGCCTTAGGGATCGCCTTACTCAGCCTCTCCTTCACCTCAGCCGGGCACTCCGCGAACCATGGGTGACTCTCAGCCTCCCACCTTCGGAAGGCCTCCAATATGGCCATCTTTAGTACAACCCCTTCCAGTAGAGGATCACGGATCTCCTCGTCCTCCTCATCCATATCATCTTCCGAATCACTATCACCAGCATAGTCTTCCAGCTGGCCAAGGATCTCGTTGTAAGCGTCTTCCTCACTGATCTCCTCCTCGTCGTCCTCCTCATCATCATCCTCACTACCGCCCATATGCCCATTATCGTTGAGGAGAGTGGCGCCCCTCACATGGGACCTCTGTCTGTCCCGCTTCACCTCGTACTCCAGACCAGCAGTGAGGACCTCGATCAGCCTCACCGGGAGGGGCGTCCTGGTCCTAACACCCAACAGGGCAGGTGCACGACTGTCAATAAGTTTGATAAGGGCCGTGAAGAGGATCGTCCTCGAGTCTCGGGCCGCCACCTTGGGAGCAGTAACACACCACATAGCCATCAGAGCCTCTAAACCAGTAGCTGCCTTCCCCTCAAGAGGCACGCTGAAGCCAGCCATGGTGTCAACCACACCAACCGGATTTGCATGGGCCAATCGAGCAAAGACGACCAGAAGGGACTGCACCAGATGCTGAGCCCTGGCCGCTAGGAGCCTCTGTAGCATAGCCTGCATGAACTGTGGCCCGAGAGCAGAGCCCATACGCTCGACCACACAAGTGATCAGTGGGCCCGCGAACATCGCAGCTGAGTCATCCAACTCGTTAGCATCGAGAAGCCTCTCCAGAGTAGAGAGTACCCTAGTCTTGGCCTGCTCCAGCTGGCCCATAGGGGCCCTCCGCACGACGTAGAGCAATGTGTCACAGGCGTTCTGAATAAGAGGAGCGTCAGTGGTGTGCAGACAGAGACTCAGCAACTGCTGCACACACAACCACATATCCTCAGGGTAAGGCACTGAGGACCGCTTCAGCAGGATGGACAGCAATTCAATAGAGCTCCCCACGGTGTGACTTTCGTATTCGTCAGGATTCGACAAACACTGGCGGATCTTAGGGGTCACAGTAGAAGACACCTTGCCCAGAAGGCTCCTATCCACTCCACAGGCACACGAGAGCAGGTCCAGGACCTGCAAGTGGACCAACGGGTCCATAGCAGCCCTGTCCCAGAGGCTCATAGTGAGACCTAGGAAATCGTCACCAACAGCCACGATGCTCTTAGGAGAGTACCGCGTTATCGAAGTGAGGGCCTCGATACACAAGTGCATTGACTCATCAGCCAGACCTTCACCAGACCAGTTCATAAGGCTGCCTATGGACTGGAAGCCGCCGCCACTCAGGAGTAGTGCATTGCACTCTTCTGGTCTCTGAGGAGCGCATATCTTCAGGTATTTACAAAACGCCCGAGTAGCGATGAGACGTAGACAGATGTGATTCTTAGCCTGCATCGCCTCAAGACTATGCTGTAAAATTGTGTAGCAGTCAGCCGTGAAGCTGGCCTTCATATACTCGCATATCTTGGCCAGTAGAGCAAGTCCGCGCAGCCGCAAGAATGGTGGAGAATCTTCCTGACCAACGATCCCAGCAGCGACCTTGACGAGGTTGTCGACTTGCCCAATGGGTTTCTTCTGTTCCCCATGGTGATTGATCGCCTCACACGCCCAGCCAGTCATCAGCAGACCAACCTCAGTTTTCTTCCAAGAGTAAGGATTAGCCGTAGACGCGGCTCCGGCTGTGACCAAGCCAGTAGCCACGTCTATGATGGCCTTGAAGGCTTCGCTACTGAACGACTCAATCATCTCAGCTGCCATACCCTCCGCAGACAGGCGAACAGTTAGAGCTGCGAAATCGTCATCCTCGTTGGCCAGGAACGTCGCCGGGTCGTCGGACCACTCAGCCATCTGACTCTCAGTCACTTGGCAGTAAGGGGCCAACAGCTCGAGGATTGCCGCAGTCTTGCCTTTAACGATAGGCCTGAGCTTCGCCTTTGAGACCACGGAAGACAACAATTCACAAAACTGGACAAGTAAAGTAGTCGGACCACCGTCTTCTTCCTCGTCAATACCACCCTCCTCTGAATTGACCACCAAATTGACGTACTGGACCTGTCCACCACGAATGAACTCACATACAGGCTCCATCACGGCCTCGAGCATCGGCTTCATCGCTGAACCCAGTCTTTGCAGAAGCTTGCTGACCGCCCGAACTGCTGCTAGCACTGCCAGAACATCTCCACTTCTGGCCATTCCCTCCACTACTGGAAGCCATCCCTTCAGCATACCAACTGCCAACTCATTGCGCTGAGCTTTGGAAGTAGCCTGTTCGGCCACAATGGCCGCTGAGGTGCTGAAGAGGTCAAGAGCCTTCCACCTAGCGACAAGGGGAATGTTAGTATCCATCGCTAAGGCGCGCAGAGAGCCCTCCAGATGCAACAGATGACCAGCGACCTCCGGACCGGCCTCGTCCTGGAAAACCTGCAGCATGTCAAAGCAAATTGACCGACGTTCTCCTTGAGCAGTCGGGTCCTGCATGGTCTGCACTACTCTATCCAGGACAGGCTCCCACCCTTGCAACGAGGTCTGGGCGGCACACTGGGCTGCGCATGCGTGCACGAGTTTTCGCACCGTACTGTTGGGCTCAAAGAGGTCCTCAGCCAACACTGATCGAACCTCGTTCTGCTCGTCCACTGTAAGTTCGGTCCAACGACTTCTCACGTTACGCTTGACTATGGTCAACGACAACTGCCTCATTGGGACGGACTGTGATGGATCTACGGCAAGGCGGCAAAGAGTCGTTTGAAAGCCAGGTAGGGTTTCTCGTTCGGCTAAGGTTCCTTCAGCAGACCTCCTCAGGTCAGCATTGGAGGACGTCAAACCATCTAACAAGGAGAGTAGGGTGGCGGCCGAGTCGCAGGACATGTACTGATAGCAACAGCAAGAGGAGGACGGAAAAAGCAATCCTGAGGGTGATCACGGTGATATCTCACTCGAGCGTTGCTACATGCCTGAGGAGACTGATAAGGCAATTCAGTAGTGAGACTCTCAAAGAGCCGACTTAGACGAGAGCAATTCACACTGTTATAAGATGAGCGCGGAACCGGGCAGGCCAGAGTGACGGCTGCCAATGTAAAACGGCGTGAGCTCTATGCGCGAGATAAGAAGATATATGTGTCATCGGTTGTCTATGGGGGAACCAGAGATTTCATCTGGACCTAAGCACGCCGTTATCATTGTCTATACCGCACAAAATAAGGCTACAGTAGAGAAGGACTACTACGATCGCAAGTTGTCGAATAGTTCAAGGTAGAGGCATGGAGATGCTCATGATGGCTTCCTCGCACGGCCAGTGTCAACACACCATCCGATGGAAGACGCGACCAAAACCATTCAATTCAAATCGATTACAATGGCGTAGCGATATGTCAACGGAACGACTTGTACTGAGAGCGGTGCACTTAAAAACTCAGCTGATTCTAATATAGTCCAATCTCATCAATATTTCACGACCGCGAGTCACAGTGATGTTCTTTCCCATCGCATCTGGGCGGATTTTAGGTCGAAAAAGAGTCCAAAATAGTCACTTTAGTGACCTTTTCGAAAATTGACCATCACCTCAGTCTCACCCGAAGACGTTCTCCGTAACTGTCCAATATTAACCTAACAAGTGGACTAGTATGAACGGGTACCAATATCGATCAGAGCGTGATGTTAACGGACTCTAGCTCCGCACTATGCTCCTGCACACAATGGTGCTATACTCGTTACGGCGGCGTCGGCGGTGGGCAACAATCGAATCTCAAATATCAATTCTCGGGAGTACGGTATTATTCCCTCATACCGTTCCTTTAGAAATTCATAGGGAAATCCAAAGCAAGGCATCGCGGAGAGTGGACACTTTGATGAGGTTTGTTGGTCTCAGCTACCATTTTGTTACCCACTCCAATATGCTGCTTGGCCTTGATACTCCCTTTAAGTTCGGCTTGTTCATAGGCTACATCATCGTATGGACCTCTCAAAGCATTCTAGTCCATCTAGCTGCGAAGAGGGGCATCGAATACAACTACACTACTGTTGTTTTCTTGCAGGATTTCTGCAAGATGCTCATAACTGTTTTCTTATTCGTTCGTGCTGAGGGCAATCTCGCTGACCTTGTACGTCAAATGGTGGTCCACAAGAAGCTAGCTGGCCTCTATCTGGTCCCAGCTGGGCTTTATGCCATTTACAACAACCTCACATTCGTGTCGATGTCCACCTTTGACCCAGCGACATACTATGTTCTACTACAGGCCAAGTTGGTGGTCACCGCGGTCCTCTGCGTTACATTGCTGGACAAACCCGTTAGTAAAATGCAATGGTTTTCCCTTCTTATTATCACCATAGGAGCCATGATGAAAGAGTAATCGCATTCTGCTGCTGTCGTTGAGTGCCAAAATGGTGGTCAGGTACAAAGTGTTCTTGCATGGTTTCGAAGGTGGTCACTCTATATGGGATTACCTCCTAGTGCTCCTGCTCGTGATGCTCTCTAGTTTTGCCGGGGTTTACAATGAGAAACTCCTAAAGGGTCAGGACACAGCGAGCCCAAATGTGCAGAATATGTTCATGTAAGCTAGATTGACGTAGCAGTAAGAGAACTCATTCCGCAGGTATATAGTCTCTATGGCTTGCAACGCTCTGGGGTTGATGCTAAGAGGCTCAGGTTGGGGCCTCATCACTGCATTTTCATCCGAGAATCTCAAACCAATACTTTCTTGGAATATTTTGGCGATTATTTTCAACGCCGCTATAACGGGAGTTATGACGGGTAGTAGGGCAAGGGTAGATACAGATGGGCCGGAGGATGGGCGTCCCTTAGGCTTCTTCCTAAAGCATCTGAACTCGATACTGAAGTCAATAGCAGCAGCAATTCAAGTGTGGACGGTAGCAATAACCTCATCTATAGTGTTCGGATATCCGATCGACTTGGGAGTATTCCTTTCTCTAGTATTGGTAATACCACTCCTTTTCCAAATCACCTTCGGCGAGGCAATGCTGTTCAGGTAACTGCAGGCGTGTGGATTTATAGCCGATACCCGGAGAGCCCGCCCCCCACGGCTAAGTTGGTTCCAACACAAGAGTCCAATGAAGGGCGAGGCGACGTCGAACTTGGTGCTCTAGAAAATAGCGATATAGCATCTAACTCGGACGAGCCTTTGCCAAAGAATGCGAGGAACCGTCCATCGTCAGCGTCAATGAATGGGAAGGAATAAGGTTTTGACCGGGTGTAGTATTATAGTGCCTTGCAGATCAACAGATAGTGCGCCTTTCTGGAGCTAGATCTGTGTTGAGGGAGTTGTGGTATTTCTATTTCCTATAGAATGGGCCTCAATTTTTTATCATATGTGCATAATTTTCTCCTGGCAGTCTGCGTAGTAGTGGGAAAGCCGGTGACGGAACGGAAAGGTGGTCTATATGGAACGTAGTAGTGGGTGACTTCCTTTCTCACTCGAATACTATCAGTATAATGCTCTGAACTGAACACAGGGTCACGTCATGCGATTTGTGAGGAGATGAAATTGTAGTGGTATAGATTATCGTTGTTCAGGGATCTCATCGAACAGATGTATGCCCACGCGTTTGGAGACTATATGAGGTTATAACGGAGGCACTAGGCGGACTTGAATAGTTACGTTCTGTATGTGTTAGATATGCCTTCCCTTATGACGAGCTTCGGCCGCTCTCTTGTGATGGGCGAATTGCTCGAGAACGAGGCGATCTCGACTTTATCATTGCTAATGTTTCTATGACGTAGGAAGGGGGAGGGGGATTTGTTATATGTTTATGTTTATTACTGCTTGTTAATAACGAGTTGTTATATGTTTATGTTTATTACTGCTTGTTAATAACGAGTTGTTATATGTTTATGTTTATTACTGCTTGCTAATAACGAGTTGTTATATGGTTATGTTTATTACTGCTTGTTAATAACGAGTTGTTATACGTTTATGTTTATTACTGCTTGTTAATAACGAGTTGTTATACGTTTATGTTTATTACTGCTTGTTAATAACGAGTTGTTATACGTTTATGTTTATTACTGCTTGTTAATAACGAGTTGTTATATGTTTATGTTTATTACTGCTTGTTAATAACGAGTTGTTATATGTTTATGTTTATTACTGCTTGTTAATAACGAGTTGTTATATGTTTATGTTTATTACTGCTTGTTAATAACGAGTTGTTATATGTTTATGTTTATTACTGCTTGTTAATAACGAGTTGTTATACGTGTATGTTTAGATACATCGACTCGTTGGATTCACTTGTGCTATTCGATAGGCTCGAAGACTTTGGAGAGGCCGTCGATTTTATATCACACAATGTGACTTTTGATCGCGATGTGGTACGTGGGAAAAATGTACCATGCCGGGATAGAACCTGCGACCTTTGATGATAGGTGGTCTCGGCCTTTGAAATGAATATACGAGTCCTCGGTGGGCTTCTATCTGGTCATCTTCATGCCAAGCGAATGGGCATACCATCCGGTTACCAGGACGATCTACTACGGAAAGCCATCGACTTGGGGGATAGGTGGAAATGATGACGATCCCGTCCCTGTTCGCTTACCGTGCTACTTATTCAGGCTCTACAAGGCTTTTGATACATCAACAGATCTGCCGGCGGCTCGAGTGAATCTAGTTAAGGGTATCGACATTGATGATGAGGAAGTACCAACGAGCATTTCTGTAGCAGAAGCGGGCAGTTGGATCATGGGTGAGGAGTTGGGCCGATTTGATGGAGACTGGTTTTTTGCAGAGTTCGGCACTTTGAGTCTCCTTACTGGCGATTGGAAGTACTACGAGGCGGCTCGGAAGGCGTTGGATCATTTATGGTATGGTCTATACACACGCAATATTGTTAGGTTCATGCTTGGGTTAGGTATATGAGGCTTGGCCCAGCGGCGCTCATGCCTACCACGATCTCGATATCAACAGGGCTGTGGATGGACAGTCTCTCATCAGGCGCCGGGCCTGGGCATGACTCCTATTATGAGTAATCAGATGGACGACATTCGTTGTTCATGGTATCACCTATGTTGGACTATATGTATTCTTCAGAAGGATTAGTCTATTTACATATGAAATTTCAATAGTTTATAATAGTACTATTCTAGTACGATAAAAGGGAAACGGAATTTATGTAGGAGACTTTCGAGGAGGAGCGGTTGAGCTCGCTCACTCCGCATTCGAGCGACCGATCGTCTTATTGATCTCATCCATCATATGTGTCTAATAACAATTCAAAATAAATAGGGCTTGAAACGTCGAGCCCCACGAAACGCCTTCGCCTCTCCTTCGAGTATGTACTATCATATGGTCATCTATAGACTTTTGCCAGGTATCTGTTGAAGGCTTATGTCCTCTTTGGTGACGTGGAACTGTATGAGCGTTTTATGGACCATTTCGAAGGCATTAGTACGAGAGCCGAGATGTTATCAACGACTTGAGCTCTTGTTGAACAGGTTCTTATCAAGCCGGTGGGCAACTGACCTTCGATGTAGCTACAGATTCACCAGCACATACACAAGTGTCGCCACTACAGAGTTTTTGGGGAGGAGGTACGTGGAGCGATTGGTGTCCATCAGTGTGAGCGGATTTGCCAATTTCGAAAAAAAAACTTGGGGAAATTCTCGTTGGGTTTTCCTCTACTCATATTTCAAGTAGCGTGTGAACTTTCATATCGGGGAGCAAACTATTGAGCTCAGCTGAGGAGACGAAACATATATTCCAATATCGATCGTGATAGTTTCTAATTGTCAGTCGTGAATGCCATACAAGGGCCGTCAGCGTACGCGACGTCCATCGCTCGGATGTGGTCTCGACTTTGGGACTTCATGGGCGGCTTGCCTGAGGTTGCGGATATAAAGGAACGAAGAGTGGCTCTGATAGCCTATGGCCGGGACTTCAATTTGCGGTACTATATGTCGGCGGAGCGAAGCTGTTTTTATTGGGGATTTTATCAACAGGCCAGAGTTGGCGGAGACCCTTTCTCAACTGGGTGCAGCAATCAGTGGTGGGGTGGAGGACGAGACGTATAAGTGGAAATTGGAGAAGATGGCAAACGACTTGGAGAAACGAAATAAGGTGAGGAATTCGCTCGGAAAAATTTCACATAGTGATGGTATTGGTTTCCATGCATGCATTCTCTGTGGGAGACACGTTATTGTGACTGATGCGTATGGTACTGAGCTTTAGTACTGAGGATTGAGGCTCGTCGGATTGTAGTAAAATCTGGTCATGGGATGTTGTTGACGTGATTTTACTCTTCGAGTTCATTATGTATGTATGTTAATTCTAAGCTTGAAGGGCATCTAATCCTAGCCGTTTGGAAATAGTTTTTGAAACGGGGAATAAGAAGTCTATCCCTGTTACAGGTATACGCTTCTCCCTATATATACATAATAGTATTATGACTATGTACAATGTATAGTATTTTATGCGTAGTATTATAATACTATTATACTATGTATACTATTACTTAGGCTACTAAGTATCATGACTAGTATTATGATACTTAGTATCATGATAATACAGGGAGTCTGTAGTACGACTTGGTTCCCCTCCGCTCAGGCCGTATGCGGGTACGCGTCTTTAGCCGACGTTCTTGGCCATCGCAACGATGACCGTATGGACAGCTTTTTCCTTAGTGAAACTCTGCCTTACCTGTAACGCTTCATGAAGACCTCCCATCGCTTATCTTGCTTCACTTGCAGGTATATGGGGTTGACCGGTCCTGAGGTTGTAGCTAGTCGATTGGGTAGTGGTAGTGTGGGCCGGTTGTTCACCACGGAAGCCCACGTTCTACCATTGAGCCATCTGGTGCCATTGGCGAGGGACAGGCCTGGCCATGCACGTGGGCAACGAGGCACGCGTACCACGCCTCTGGTCTGTCCCATGGGGCCTTCGCCCGTGTTGAGATTCTCGGACATGGTCGATTGGCAGTTTTCCCACGGCGCGTGGACGGTGTGGCCAGAGCTTCCTACGGTCCTTAGGGAGGCCATTCCAACGGGAGTAACGATGCCTAGGGGAAAGGCACGACTTGTGGTTCGAGCCGTTGGGATGATGGCTGAGGAGCCTGTGTTCAATCTGAGTGTGGGAACGGCGATATTTGGTGGTAGGATTCGACAAAGGAGTGGTATGGAAGAATTTCAATGGGACTTGGGCGAAGCGAAGCGAACGAGGCTTGTTAGGATGATACATTCAGGGCCGTCTCTTAGGGCTGCTCTGAAGAGGCGTGGGAGGTGTTCTGATGACACTAAGGCTTATCGCAATCATAGTAAAGCGAGTGGCCGAGTGTTCTCTGGAGGGCCTCACTGGCGAGAGACTCCGATAAAATCGCAACGTAGGGATTTCCGGCTGATGTTCTCGGGGGATGGTATGGACTTTGGTTGCAACCGAACAGGCCAGGACGAGTACAGTGAGGCTGATAATGTGATGGTAGTCGTGCATAGAGCCGGCAACTGCTCCTTTGCTGATAAGGCCTTAAACGCTCAGTTGAGGGGAGCGAGTGGTATCTTGGTCATCGATAAGGTCGACTCTGGGCATAAGAAGAATCTAGTGATGACATGTGAGATTGAGAAGAACTGGTTATGTCGATACGTACATATCCCTGCTGTTTCTGTACCAGCGGTGGATTTCGCCCCTGTTTTATCCCTTTTGACGGCTGGCCATAGTCTTTTCGCGCAGCTCTTGGATGCCGCGTTGTTGTTCTAGAGTCGTGTCCTACTAGATACGTTGCCTGTAATTGCTATACTTGTATAATCTCATGTACTATTACGAGGGAGCTGAATGCTTCCTTGTGTTTTACTCCGGGGAGTTCTTGTCTTTCGGCGAGCCCTCAAGTCCTTTTACTAGAACTGTGTGACACAGGCTAGTGTTGTGTTTGGTGGTGACACTGAATGGTGTATTGGTTGTAGGTGTCACCACTGTAGAGATGAGACAATTGAAGCCCCATGAACAGAAGCTTTTGCGGAAGGTCAACCTGTACCAGTGGAAACGGGACGACAACAACGTTCGGGAGGCGAAGATTATCCGGAAGTATGGTATCCAGGACAGAGAGGACTACACTAGGTAGGCTTTGATTGGTACGAGTTGGCCGAAGTGTGGTATAGGTATAATAAAGTGTCGGGTTTGGTGACGAAAGTAGTAGCGCAGTTGAGGAAGCTGCCCGCTAGCGATGAAGAGCGTATCAAAATGACTGAGGTTCTCCTCGACAAATTGTAAGTCGTTTGTTCCTCTTGATGTAAGGGACTGTGGCGTAGGTACACTATGGGAGTCATTGCTACTGCATCATCACTGGACAAGTGCGTGGAGCTCTCGGCCTCATCCTTTGCTAGGAGGAGACTTTCAGTGGTTGTAACTCGAAACCACTTCACTGAGCAGGCAAGTTTTTATGGCCAATCGACAACATTTCCATTGAATGGCGATTTTCAGGTTTCCCAAGCTAATCGATATATAGAGCAGGGCCATATTTCCATCGGTCCTGATGTTGTTACTGATCCGGCCATGCACGTCACGAGGGAGATGGAAGACTGTCTGCAATGGAGTCAGGGCTCTAAGGTAACGTCTTGACGACGACTAGTATAGGACGACTTTGTCGTTCTCATCTTAGGTCAAGCGTAACGTTATGGAGTTCAACGAGGAACTAGATGACTTTGAGCTTATGGGCTGACCGCCTTATACGTTCCTTCACACTACGTCTTCAGTTCTGGGTTGAGTTTTCTGGCTCGCTGGTGACTTCCATGTGGCAGGGGTTGTTGTATGCGAAGCGCGGCAACAACTACCTCACGACGCGTTGTACTTGGTAGTCGTTTTCCTCATCATCCTCCTCCTCGACTAGGCCCTTATTCACGTCCCTCATTATCTCTATCGCATTCAGCGCAGCAATCAAGAACCATGACGAACTCTATAGGGACGAGCAAGCTATTGTTGCAGGAGCCGACGATTGTACTCACAGAGAAGGAAACGGCGATCTTCAAAGTTATCATGGACACCATTTACCACTTCCATCTCAGTAACTCATCAGTCTACCTCTTCCCTCCGCATCGTCCTTGGATCAGATACAGTCCCAAGGGCCGCAGGCGGCTGGGTTAGGGATAAGCTGTTGGGAAAAGAAAGCGATGATATAGATATCGCTGTTGACGACATGTCAGGTGGGGCCTCCACAGCGACTACAGTGTGCTTTTGATGAACTCGCTTCAGGGGAGGCCTTTGCGTACAAAGTGAAGGACTTCCTCACGAGGACCTCGCCGGGTGCATCTTGCAGCTCAGTTGGGGTGGTCCGTGCTAATCCTGACCAGAGCAAACATCTCGAGACGGCTACTCTGAGGGTATTCGATATCAGCCTTGATGTCAACAATTTACGTACGGAAACATATACACTGGTAAGGGAGAAGGAACGTGCATAGTTCCGGGGGAAATCGGGATTCTCGCTGGTGTCGCAGTTTACAGACTTGCGGGGTTCAAAGAAAATATCAATAGGTCTAGACTAGAGAAATGAAATCATAAGATCAATGATCTAGTTCACTTGACTACAATGAATGCCATGCATGCATGCTCACGTTCCTAACTGGAAGAAGGTGATTTTCCAAATTTTTTTCGGAATTTCCGTATTCATCGCGGAATTTCTGTCACCATTGGTAACTCACCAACACACGTAACTGCCTGTGCGCTCATTCCCCGCTACTGTCGTCTTATTTTCTTCTGCGCCTTGCGATAAGCAGTCCATTTTGGAGCCTTCACCGTCAGGACTCGCGTATACCAGTGGTGGCGCTTGGAACCCCACAGGAAGATGCCAGTCGCCGGGACTTCACCATTAACGCGTTGTTCTACAACTTGCGCACAGCCAGCGTTGAGGATTTCACAGGCACGGGCCTTGACGATCTCAGAGTAGAAAACTCCATGTTGGGAAAATGATGAAGTTTCCTTTCTCTCAGGCTGGTGTCATCCGAACACCCCTGGAGCCCACCATCACTTTCCAGGACGACCCCTTGCGGATCCTCCGAGCCGTGAGGTTCTCCACGAGACTTGGGTTCAAATTGGACGATGAAATAATGAAGGTGAACGTCACTATCATCAGTATGCATAATGTGGTGGTCTCAGGCCGCGTCGGACCCCAACATATACGGCCTTTTACTCGTTAAAGTGTCTAGGGAGCGATGGGGTGTGGAGATTCACAAAATGCTCATTCGTCGTCTTACCAGTTTAGAGTAATAACTCTGTCGCTCGCCTCATATTCCATCTGTGAATCAGTTCCTTGGATATGCTTGCCTCCCTCGGTATCATCAACGTCCTTACAACAGTCGGCGACTCTGCTAAATTCGAGGAGCCCGATGCCGTCCCTAAGGACCAGGGCTCTATCGTCCGTGCCCTCGTCCAGAATGTCCGTGAAGTCGAGCCACATCACACCCTCTCAGATGATCAGCATTATGCCCTTACGCTTGCTATTCTGACCTCGGGTGTCTACGGCCTGCATGTTAGAGAGAGGCCGAGCAAACCAGCACGGTGTGCTTGCTATGGTGTGCTGCGACACGGGCTCAAACTGCCCAACGCGGACTCAGAGAGGGCCTCGGCTATCAGCGAAGTGGCGTGGAAACTGTCGAGGGCGTCGCAGGAGGAGTTGGTAAACCCTGTATTCATAGGGCATTGCATGCGTTACCTCAAGGAGGACTGGGTGGTCGCTCTGTGTCTTGCAGAGTGTCTCGCGGCTGCTCATGAGAGGCAGCGGTACGTTGACTGCCGACAGAGGGTGTTGCTGAGCGGCCTCATCGGGTGTTGGAACTGGAGAGCTCCTATCAATGGCACATCATTAGTGAACGACTTCGGCATGCCTCGAGGTGAAGGTCTCAGTGTCCTCCTTGACAGGCAAGTCGATAGGTTGTTGAGCAACTGCAGTATGGTGGTTAACGACGAGGAGGAGTACAAGGCTTGGCTCCAGGGTGAGGTCGAGGAATGGATGGTTGCCAATCCGGAAGCTGTAGCGCGGGCTAATAAACACGGAAAAGCAAAGAAGGCAAAAAAGTGACTTCCTGTTGTAGTCAGAGTTTCTCTAGTGGGTTGTCACGTCATCTGTGGTGTATTAAGTGCGGTAAATCTGTAGGGTGTGACGCGTACACATGATCGTGGTGAGTTCAGATGTCGTATAACGCGAGTTACTGAGACGCATGTGAACTCTACAAATACACTCTTTGAAGTAGACAGAGTCAGATTTGGGGACATCGCTGGCTAAGGTGACAGTCGCTCCTCTGTTATGCTACGAGTGAAGTGGGTTATATACGAATTAGAGCGGATTTCATGGTGTATACAAACGGTGTTGTACATACCTCCTATCGACATGTAATATCGTATTTACCAAGGGCTTGTGTTTTCCAGTTGGGTATGATGATATTAGATTCGTAACGCAGTAACAGGATATAGAAGGAAAATCTTACAATCACTGTATACCAATGTTATCAGCACTATTTCGTATCTCTGTCATTTCTACATCTACGGACTCAGGGCTGGGACGGGCCTCTCCATTCCTGGGAGCTTCCTCTGATGGGGTCCTCTCAGAGAGGGGTTTCACTGCCCACCAACCCATAGCAGCGCTAGCACTGACAACCATACGCGACCTAACGATACGACAACTGGGCTCGCGTCTCAGCAGCAAGTGGACCAACCTGGGAGAGAAGGCGGCAATTGGGGGTGCTGCTTGGCCTAATAGGACCCGCTCAAGTACTGTCGAGTTCTCACCCTTGTTCATGTCGAGGAACCTGCTCCTCAGCCGTACACCATAGTAGTTTCGAAGTCTTTTCTTACCGAACCTCATTCTTCTCGCCTGGTCGGAACCGCTTCATGAAGGGCTCGCCGAAAACAACATACTTTCCGCAGGGACTGTAGCTGGGCTTGAGCGTTGGCACAAACACTTGACACCGCTCTGATGGTATCTGCTTTCAAATCTCATCGGGGGAACAGCGAGCCATGAGCTCACGTGTCGGGCAGAACTAGCGAGGGCGTGGCCGAGATTGTCGGGCGGCATGTAGAGATTGCTATCGCGATCTCTAGAGTGCATTCCAGGAGGCTGTTTCACGTTACATACAAAAGCCGTTACCTGACAACAATGCGACTGATCCCGAAGTCAGGCCTAGGAAACTCACCGTGGGCCTTCCTGTAAAGGTATCGACAGCTGTGAGCTCCATCTCCGCTCCGCCCGACACTGTTGTCACTAAAACGTGCTTCCCATCCGGAGCGTAGGTGAGCTCCTAATACGACTAATACCGTTATACGGCGCGAATCAGCTCACCGTGGGATAGAGAACTTCTGTTCGACCAGCGTTATGTTCACTTCCTGCAGTTAGCGACATGAATGGGGTGAACGTTCGCAGGTCGTACAAGTGAACCTTGAATTTGCAATATGGGAAATGTTGCAGTACGAGTAATTACAACGCCATTGCCGAGCGCACTGGCAGCGGCGAACACGACTGAGCCGGGAGAACTCGGATCGAATGCTACACTAGCTGCAGAGTGGTGACCTCCATCATTAGGAAGTTCACCGGGGACGCTGGTGAGCCTCTGTACAGGAAATATGATACTCAAATCAGCCTTGGGGAGTAGTCTCACTGCGCTATCTTTCATTGCCTCCGGCATACGTGTATCCCAGAGGTAGAGGTGGCCATCGACTGTGGTGAATATAGCCTAGTGACGTCAAGGTAGAGTAACACAGTAGAGGTTGATCGTCCTTACCAGGTCGGTACTCGGGTGCACGTCTAGAGTGTGAACCGGAGATTTTCGACCTTTGAAAACTCGCGTGAATTTATTTTCGGTGAAGTCCCACAGCCTCACAGAGCCTACAGAGGGGACTATGACAGTGACACGTCAATGCACGGCCTACAGTCCCAGTTGACGTCCCCACATGCTATGCCTGTCTCCCACTTGTAAGAGTGCATAAACTTAACGTGACGGACGCCGTACTTGTGAGAATGAAGAATCCGCACCGACTGAAACCATCAAAGAGTCCGCCCGTTGCCCCCCCCCGGAAGGCCATGACCCTAGATGCTTACATGGTTCAGCGTGTCCGTATCATAAATTCGTACCGTTTGGTCCGACGAACATGTTGCCAAGTAACGGCCTGGAGGTTGTGGTAACAGTAGTGGGCCGAATCTATAATTTCTTACCAGAAGCCGAAAAACTCAGAGAAGTGATCGGCCGATCGTTATCCTTATAAACATGTGCCAGAGCGAGGTTATTGATATCATCCTCCGTCCATGACACGCTGCTAGAATCACCGTCGAGACCGGAAGGAGGCATAAAATTGGAGCAACTTCAAATTAGAACCAGACGGATTTTACCAGACTAATCAATAGTAAGTCTTTTGCCGCCCACCCAGAGAAAGGAAACCCCATACCTCTATAACTCAACAGCTTTCACCCTAGCCAGTAGTGAGACATGATCCCAATGAATTCAGTACAGTCAATTTGAATATATGCTAGTCTCCCTCAGAAGAGGCAACTGTCCGACCCTTGCGGAGCATCCCCTTCTTGAGCAGCCCTGGCCCCACCATCGCTGACCGCCCCAGGGGCTTCTACTTCCTTCTCTACACTAGATGGGTCTTCCCTTTGGATTTCCCTGGCCTCCTCCACGGGCACTTCTAAACACCATGTAAGTCAACCGGCAGTGCTGGAAGTCGTTGCAACAGCGCCCTTTACCTTGAACTAGGGGCCTTTCCGGTGATCCTTCCTCCATAATCTCAATATCGTCGCTAACATAATCGTCTTCCTCCTCCTCCTCTTCCTTGCCTCTGCCGAGTATCTCCTGGAGCTCAGCCATTTCCAGAATATTGAGCTCTTCGTTTTGGAAGTAGCTCTGCCAGTTACTAACCTTCTTGGCAATCAGTTCCTTTTTAATCCTGAACCCCATTTCTCGTCAAAACATCCTAGACCTTCCACCCAGTGTGATCAACTACATGTGTTGGTTAAAACATGGAAATTTTGAGAAAATTTTGGAGAATAATTGTTCGTTTTCGTACACTTATATCCAAAGTCGTGTGTGGATTCCCATAATGTAGTGAGAAAATTCGCCATATCGGGTGTGGAAACCCAATATATATTCCCACACTGCTTCCACCCTACTACTACTACTACTACTACTACTACTACTACTACTACTTCACAAGAGCTTTCTGCCTTGCTCTCTCCTTAGAAGCGTCCAGGGTTACCCGCTCCATGAGAAGGGGTTGGCGACTTACACGCTCGAGCATTCGTTTCACTTCCTCCCTCCACTCCTTCGCCGCACTAAGCGCCTCTCAATAGCATCCAAATACCACCTTTTCCAATATTACCGAGCTTGCTCTCGTTTACGCCGGTTGAGCTCCTCGGACCCCACTGGCTGCCCTTGAGGGCCCACCGCATGATGCACCCTTTTCTGAGCAATGCATGAGCTCCTCATCCTCAACCTCCCCTCACACTCACATGTAGAGGAGATTTCGGTCTATCCGTTCGCCCAGCTTCAGCAGCCTCTTCAGCTCCCCTCTCGGCCATCAGCTTTTCTCGTCGTTCCATGTCCCTTATCCTGTCCCGCTCCACAAAGCTAGGTGGGCCCACCACTCTGCTTTTCAAGACTCACTAACGCCCTCGAATAACTCTAGCACCTTTTCCGTGTAGATTTTTTGGGCTCTCCCAGTTCCTCCTTACCCCTATGAGCTTTCTCCTCGTCCCTACTTATCGTGAATGAAAAGGGTTCCGGCCTGGTAACTCTGCCAGGCCTCTCCTGAAAAACGAAACCATGCAAAATTCGAATGCTGTTACCACCTCCTTCCTCCGGCGGAGCCTCTCTTGTTCCTTTCTGTGCAGAGCTTTGAAGTTCGGCACGGAACGCCCAACTTGGGGATAAAAGGTGAAGTACTCAGGAGTAGAACTACGCCGCCGTTTTTCGCTGTCACTATTGCTGCTCTTCAGAGCCTTGTGGAGCACTGTACGAGTCTGGCTACCCACACTGCTGCCAGCTACAGTCCTCGAGCTGAATAGTCTGAGCCAATGCCAGTGATGCACGCACACGAGGAGTGTACTTCCCTTACACATGCCTCGGCCCACATACATCTCCTTCACTAGTACAGTCCTTCCTACTTTGCATTCGAGGAGGCAATGAGGCTGTGCGGTTCACCAACGCCTAGCCACGACCAATTCCTGCTGCATACCCACCATCCTCACCTCTCGCTCTGCTCGCCTCTGAGACCTGAGTCGTGCCTTGCTCGACATCATAGACTTGTACAGTGGTGCTGAGACCACCCAGGGCACTGGGCGAGCGCTAAACGGCCTGAACGGACCCGTAGCCCTTGAGGCCACGCGATGGATTACTTCGGGGGGTCTTTCTTCCTTTCCAATAGAGATCCCCTAATGCTCCTATCAAAGCTCACTGACATCGAAGCAGCCAGAGTAGTATCAGGTCTCCTAGGCCTCGTCACAGTGTTACCCAACCGATGACGAACCTCCTGTTCGGCTACGTGCGTCTGATATCATCCAATCACTCGCATAACAGCGGCGTAGACTACTACCTGGTGGCTCCCCACCACTATCGGCGCGAAGGTACCCGGAGCCCCTCCAGCGGCAACTGTCCGTTCCCTCGGAAGCTTCCTAGCCTTGAACGATGCGCTGAGACGCCGAGTGATTCACCAAATAGGTGCGTTGTTCACTGACCTCCTCGAGCTCTTCGCTGGAGGCTCCTCCTCGTTGTTCTTGAGACTAGCAAGCAACTTAGTATGTGACTTGACGGCTTCTCGTTGTAGCAACGAGGGTCCCACTGGCACTGTCGTCCTCGTAGTGCTAGTCGCCGAATGAGGTCTCAAATGAGAAGCTCGTATTTTCCGAGCTCGAATAGTCGACGCCCTCTCAGAGACCACCGTGGGGCTCCTTCCCCTCGAGACCTCTTCCTTAGTCTCCTCCAAGAGAAGCTCATAGACGTTCTTCCCTTCTGTGGCTTCACGTGCGGCCACCTCTCCACTACTGGGAGTCGTGAAATGTCGTGGTGGCATGTCGATAGGCGGCACATAGTCCTCCTCTCTCATGCCCTGAGGGGTTCCCTCACAGCTCACGCCGCAACAGTGTGTCTGTACCTGGCGACTTAGCAACGATGCACTGGTTGCCGCTGCAAAGGCACTTGCAACTGCCGGTTCTATAGTGTCCCGTAAGAAGGGATGAACACCAGACACCGAGTCCGAGTATGCTGAGCCTGAGTCCATTGACTCTCTATAACTGCCGATACAAGGTGAACTACTCGGCCTATGAACAGCGGAAGGGCTATCATCTTCCCTTGAGGGTCCCGGAGACCTGTATTCTTCGGCAACATAGGCGGCAGCGGGAGGGGGCGACTCAATCCGCTCGTGAGCCCCTAGAGATGAATACTACGAGAAATGGGGCCTATGGGAGTACCCGAGCTGTCCTCAGTGGGAGCACGTGGCTTTGAAATCCGATGATGAACAGCCTTAAGGACATCAGCCCAAGTAACGACATCACCTAGGATGGCAGCCAGCTCGGGCATTATGTACCTTGTACAAAATCCCTCATCGAAACCTCGACAGCGGCGCGCATAAAGCTGAAGTGTTCAACTACTGTTTCAACATCCAAGGCTTATTCAACCGTAAACTGTCACAATGCAGTGCAATACTACAAGAGAACATGGTAAACCTCCCCCTATTTAGCAGATGGGAGCCGATACCATTACTACGCCCATGGTTCCGAATCGCCATCCGAGCTCCCCCGCATCATTGGGTTCATGTGCAAGGCCTTAGATAGCGACGGCTTGGCGTGAAGATGTCGAATGAACTCAGTCTTTCGGACAGCGTCTCGACTCTGATAACGAACAACTGCTGTCCACTACTTTCTCCTAAGCTTACCGCAGTATGACAATGATAGTAGACGTCCAGTATCCGCCTGAGGGTGTCCATATCAAGGGCTGGGGTCAGAGGCTCCAAGTGCTTCAACGAGTCCTGTAGGGCTCCTTGCAGGGCCGAATCGATAGCTGCCGAGAAGCAGATATTCGGATCAGGTCGGAGCTCCGACATAAAGGTGGAGAAGTGTAAGACCAACCCGTGTTGTGATTTACTAGAACACCACACAGAAACAAATGACACCAACGACATGGTCAGCAGCAATAACAACATGCAGACTAGCATACTGGCAGAGGACCTCAGTATTGTATACCAAAGGTCTAGAAAGAGCGGGGAATTTGCGGCCAAACGATAATATGAACTGTGTAGGAGGGGGCGCAGCTGCTGTGTAGGGTAGAAGGGATGACCAAGGTTAGACTGTCGGCTCGAAACCGCGCCACAGTGCTAGCAATACTGTGAAGTGGTCATCCCTCGGTGACCTTGTATGAAGAGAAAAAAGAGGGCATGGACGCCAGTAACGGACAACACGATAATCAGACTTGACTTTTTGACGAAGTCTGTAGACTATAACCGACCACCATGACGACGACGACGACGACCTTGAAAGCATCTAACCGCATGCGGTAGCGGCGAAAGCCCTCACTTCGATGGGGAGGAAGGGAGGGAAGGTACGTATCTGACATGGACGATGCTGTTACATAAACCAGTCTAGAGGGTAAAGTTCAGCGCTGACTCACCCTGTAATCTCGAGGAGTAGCATATCCGCTTTCTAAGTCGTCAACTTCAAGTTCAAAGCTCCTACCAAGAGACAGTCTCGGCATGAGGATAACAGGAGTAGGGGAGGAGGACGAAGGAGGCTGCGCAGTTTGCACAAGTCCTTCACGTCCATTTGGGGTTATCATAGAGTTTACTGCTGGTTCGAGGTAGCCAGGGGAGCGACCGATTTCCATTGTGGCCAGGTTACTGTCGAAGTTAGTAGAAGCAACAGGTGAGGCGTCGGCAACTTTCTCAACAACCTCAGCAGCAGCTTCCCTCAGAGCCTGGGCTTTAGCGGCCTCACGCCTCTTGTCCCACCATACCCATAGAGCGCCAAATATGGGACCACTTGCAGGGACGGCGAAAACGATGGGCACGAAGGCGTCTGAGCCGCTGAAGACATACCACAGTACTAGGCAGTCGAGGCAACCTAAGAACTGAGGGATGATGGCTCCTCGCCAGTAATGGCCAGGGGGGGCTGTCAAGGCCATCTTGCTGAGCAGAATGAGGATCAGACTACAGCCCAAGATGACCAGAATAAGGAACGGGTTACGGATGATATCGCTGATGTTGTAAGGACCGAGAGTCATGTTGAATTGGGAGGAAATAGGATCGCCTAAGGGGGAAAATCATGAGCTGTAGGGGAGAGGCAGAAACAATCATCTTGAGAGACTACTGCAGGAAGAAACGCTTGAGGACGGCCGAATCAGCATAGCGAGGCACTCGGAGCGACCGCTGACCGAGAAGAATTCGCCTGGGGGAGTCTCTTCAGAACAAACGTTTTTGCACGGGTTACATCGTTCGGAACCGCGCGCACTTCGCTCGAGCTACATCGCTCGGCGCAGTACGGATTAGTTCCTACTACTATTATTAGTTTTGTTGACTGCTGCCATGTCCAACCCGCTCGAGAACGTCTTAAGACCTACATCGGCCTCCGCCACTACGGCAACAGGCTCACAAATGGACTCGACGAACGCAGGAGGCACCGATGCTTTGTTCAGGATGTTCGGTGGTAGTACTCTACCTCGCTCTACACCTGACGACATTACTCCTTATGATAGGCACTACAAAGGGCTCACAACTAGGCAGTGAGATGAGACTGGCCGGAGGACAGCTATTGGCTACACCTACAGCAGCACGTAGGCTTGTGGACGATCAGGCTCATTGACTCGCATGCTTGTGTTCGTCAGCGTCAGCTCCTAGACGTACTACCGTTATGTTACGGAATGTTCCCAATGATTTGGGCTCATTGGATCTCATAGCTATCATCAATCAAGAGGGCTTCAAAGGTGAGTCCATGCTACTTATAGCGACATAGTCGATTTTCATCGTCCCTCAGGTGCATATGACTTCCTCTTTATGCCGCACGAGAGGACTCCTTCATCCCAACCGGACATCAAAACCAAAGGCACTGCCCTCTCTCTCTATAGCATCATCATCATCGTGTTTTTCATTCAGGCTACGTCTTCATCAATTTTCTATCAGAAGGGCTGGCTCACATGTTCCGCAAGATCTTCCAAGGGAAGCCTCTCACTGGTAGTAGCCTTGTCGGCATGAGTGCTCGCGTGTTCAGTTCTGGTCCATCATTTCAGGCCGATTCCTTCTGAAAGTCGGTGACGTCTCTGATGCCAAGACCCAGGGTTTCGTTGATAATATGTTACCCCATCAGAGTCGAGCTCCTATGGTAGGTCGGCAGTCTCCCATGTCAAGCGGCACTGTTGCTGGGCTCAGGGACTTCACGTCTTTGGGTGCCCGGAAGGCACAGAGCTGGTCCGTGGTGGCCGACCGATTCAACTATCATTACAGGAGATGATAGAACGCAATAGGGCTGCTACTGAGAAAGCTGAGCGAGGTACAGTCCACGTCGGGTGGACGCTTATGTGGGAGGTCTTGGTCTGGCAGAATCCGCCATCATTGACGAGCTCGTGAGCAAGGGGGAAGTGGAGACAATGTTCGACCTCAAGCCTCGATTGGTGTCCTATGAGATTATGCAGAAGAAACAGGGAGGGTCAACGGCTACGCCATCACCCCGAGAAGGTCAGCAGCAGAGTAAAAAGCTTGAGGGGCAGAAGATCCTCGTCAAGAAGCTTATGATAGGCACTTACCATATGCGAGCTGATGCTCCTGAATTTAAACCAGCTGGTATGACGCCAACGCCCAGGCCTATAGCACCAAAGGCATCGGTAATGATGCAAGCTCCAGCTGCCAAGGCACCACAGGTGAGGGGAAAGTAGTATCCGTCTCACGTTATGATGATCCCAGGTTCGAACCCCTGCTCCGGCACCTGAAATTCCGAAACCGCAAACGTCAAGAACCGATGCACCACCAGCAGCGGCAGCAGCATCAACGAAGCAGTCCACCCCCGATAACGGCTCGCCTAAGATGTTTTTAATATCGGATCTCGTTGCTCTGAAGAATCTTGTCACGTGTGCGAATGCTGAGGACCAGATGTCCACTGAAGAAATCGGCAGAGTATGAGGAATGGGCGTGGTGATTGGTGACACTGTCTGCCGCTGTTAGGTCCTCAACCAGTGGCAGTTGGTCCCGATCAAAGCCGATGAGAGAGACCTTGGGTAGGATAGCTGTGATGCCCTAATGTTATGAGGGCTTTCTCTCTGCAGTCCTGGTGTGCCTCCTGAATCTATGGCTACCTCGGACCAGTTCGTAAGCGCTATTGAGCGAACTAAGGCTAAGGCAGCGGCAGAGAATGGCGATGCGCTCGTTGGTGTCCTATTCTGCGAGTCACTGCTAAGAGGTGTCTCGGCGGCTTTGGTGATACAGCTTGTATGCTTGTTTCAGTGGTGATGCGTGTGCGATCTTCAGATTGGTAGTATGAGGAAAGTCGATGTTCTCATGCTGCAGACAGGAGCTGACGCGGCCTCTCAGCAGCGCGCGAATCAGATCATTGCTCGTAACGAACCTTTTATGTAGGATTCGAGATTTTGAAAAGGAGTGGTATGGTTATGTACTTTCCTGAGGTACCCGGTACGCTGCCGAACAGTGACCTCGATAGCGTCTATGATAGCACATATGAGTACCATGGCAGTACCCAAGAGCTCTCCAGCAGCAGCAGCACCGTCCAATGTGGCTGGTAAAGCTAGTGGTATTCAAGGGGCCGCGGCTGCTCCTAAGGCGGCGGCTAGGCTTGAAAAGCAGCAGCAACAAGTACAGGGGGCACAGAAGCAAGACCAGCAGCAGCAGGGAGCAGTTAGTGGAGGCGCTCAATTAGCGCCTAACACGCAGTAGGAAGAAGGGTGATGGTAGCTGATTGTTGACACTGTGTTGGGTAGGCACGTGGCACGATGCTTCTGGCATCCTACTGATCCGAACCAGCTACGTGTTGATACTGGTGATGTGATGGTGGTAAAGTCAGTGTCAGCAGATGGACTCTGGGCTTGGGCCTTGAATCTTCACACGTACGTTCTCGTGGTGGAAGAGTATCTGAGTGTTATTCTTTAGACCTGTGCAGCAGCAGCCTCAGCAGCAGCAGAAGCCTGGATGGGTGCCTACCAGTGTTTTCAACAGTCCTAGGTCTCAGCAAGCCCAACCTCAACAACAGGCAACGAGCGTGGCAGCTCAGGGAGGGTAAGTGACTTGTCGTGTTAGAAAGTAGTCTCTTTATCTTGCGACAGACGGCCACGCTCAGCTATGAGTGAGCTGGCGGCTAAGCTTGAAGCCCAGCGAGGTAGAATGCTCCCTGTCACCACCAGAGGAGGCCAGCAACAGCAGCAGCAGCAGCAGAAGGGTCGTGGTGGTCAGGAACTAGTAGGTTCACCATAGGTCAGGCGAGTCAGTTGTTGTTATGTGGCACTTTAGATGGTAGTGGCAGCGTCCATGAGACCAGGAGCTCCTCCGGTCGGGACAATTTTACAGCTCGACAGTGTGAACCCCGCGGCAGGAACAATGGCTGTCTCCTGGAACAACGGCATGGAGGTAGGTATCGACCTCATAGTAGCAGGATGATTAGACTCGTACACATTTAAACGTCTTCCTTATTCTAGTATCCGTGCTCAGAGTCGTTGGTAGGGATCGTCTCTGTGAGGGTGCCTTTATTTCAGTCGGGAGTTCTCCCAATCGACCTTACAAACTACGAGTCGTTGCCTCACTTGAAGCAAGGGAAGCACAGAGGTCCTCAGCAGCATCAGCGTCGCTATCATTAGCTGATACCAGTATCGAGGATTTCAACGTAATCGTCATCATCACCACCACTACTACTACTGCTATCACGACAAGCTATCTGTCTCGAACATTCATTTTGCCTCCCAGCAACTGTCAACGACAGGGAGGAGGAGGAGTGTGTCTGTGGGTGGCGTAGCTTTAACAACAGTAGGCGCAGTCAAGATCTTGAGCTCTGCAAAAATGTATTGAATCTGTTTCTTTTTCGACACCTCAACTTTTCGCCTTTCAGTTCGCTAAAGGCCTATCCACGATATAGGGTGTTGTGTTAGGCAGTGATGACGATATTTTTCGCGCAGTTTTTTTTCGCAAGGATGCCACCACGCTCAGTCGTCAGTCGCCAACAGTGACAGTAATGTCGCTCGCGCCTTGCATTTGGTGGTAGGTGATGGCACGAGAGGATGAATGATGAGTTGCCCGAGGCAGTGCAGTGAAACGCTCCTATCTGACTGCATGCATGGACAGGAAACCATTTGCCTGAGCTCAAAAGGAGGATGGGACTTGGCTCTAGCCCTCGGGGAGTAGTGATCTGGTCGGCGGTTGAAAAAAGAGTCTCGAGAGGTTTTCTATCCACCAAATGCATTGTGCAGAGGAGGCCATTATTACGTTTCCGAAGGGTAATGTGGAATAAACTGGGTCCTTGATCAGCTGGGCTGTAGCTGGGAGGCACTTGGCTTTGCCCTCGAGACAGGAGGCAAATGCGCAAGGCTTATTCCAGAGATTAGTTATCGCACAACAGCGGTCGTCGTTGAGGCCTTGATAGGGCTGAGTTCCGAGGATCACGCCCGGCCTTTGTTAGAGTCGGAGAATGCCAATGCGACAGAGAGGTATGTTGCTGATGGGCAGACCGAAGCTGTTGGTGAGGAGCTCGTGAGCTTGTTGTACTTCGATTGAGAATTCTCGAAGGAATGGTAGTATCACTAGTTGAGAAGCTCTCAGTCGACGACCAGTGTGGTACTCTGTCGTGGACCACGCTGGGGCTTCATTAGACCCTCGAAGGAGTCCTGAGACATTTTCTGGGCTCATGAGGCTTAGTAGTATCCTATTGCATGGAAGAGCAAATTCTGAAAATTTTGTTGGCAGCAGTCACAGTAGGGCCTTATGGTGGAATTCTTTTTCTCCCAGCGGCAACATGGAGAGTGTAAGGATGCTCTTGACGTACCGGCTACCGAGTTTATAGTACTTTCAATGTTGTTTTAGCTGAGGTTAGTTTTAGTTTATTTTCTTGTTGTTCGTATGATCAGCTTGCAGCAGCTCTCTGCTGCTCCTCTGCTTCTATTACTACTTCTGGTAGAAGTTGTCTCAGGGCAGGTCCAGCTTGAGTCCCACTCCTTCACCCAAGTAGGACTGCGACAAGCTCTGCTTATGGTCGCATTATGGGTTCTGCTAGGCTCTGGACCAACGAGTTTTCAACAAGCGTTGGAATGCCATGGGCACTTGCATCCTCGAGAATGATCATATTCTGCTGACACCAAGAACGGCTGATAGATTTGCTGCTCTCTGGCATAAGTACGGCTATGTTGATATGCTCCTTGGCACACTGTGACACAGGTCCCCCTTGCGCACTGATAATTTCGAGGCTACCTTCACCCTTGATCTCAAGAACCCTCCTGATGGAACGGACCCTAAGCATGAGCAAGTACGCATACCTCAGCATTCGGGCGTAGTTCGGAAGCCCCTCACATTTCAGGGGTTCGCCTTCTGGTACGTTTATGATGATCCTACGACTCAATACCCGAGTGACGTGCGACACTGCAGTGATCGCTGCGCGGCTCTTCTCGAAAATGCTGGTAAGTGTCGTCGTTGAATGTTTTGAACGAGGTGTCATCAAAGGTTGTCTTCGTTACATTGTGGACAGGTCTGGGCCTGATGGGCTATAAGAGTAACTTCAATGGTATGGCGATATTTTTCCCCAACAACCGTTTTGTTGACGGACGGATGGATCTACAGCCGAGTGCTTCTCTTGCTATGAACGACGGCTCGCTCATCTTCAATCGCCAAGTAGATCTCCCAACTGGTGAGTGAATTATACAGTCTCGGGTAGATGATTGGTTTGATGCAGGTTATGGCTCATTCTGGGACTACAGGAACCGCAGGTTGACGGTCCAGGTCCGAGTCCAGCCAGAATCGGTCGTCGTGCAGGGACGTTTCTCGGTGCGTTAGTGTTTTGAATAGCTATGTATCAGTTTAATATGAGTTGAAATCAGGATACTGATCCCTGGACACTACTGATCAATTATCAAGTCAGTGATCCTAACTTCCGAATCCGGCCTAATGGGTAGGGATAACGAACTGTTTTCCAATGAGCGATGCACTGCATTGTTAGATACATTGGTATTACGTCTCTGGTCGCGCCAGTTGGCGGACAGATCATCAACTTAGTCGACTATGTGGCGCTTAACAGTCTCAATGCCGTCAATTATGACCCTGGCCAGAAGTCAGTCTTCCACTGTTCTAGTGAACTATAAGGACTTCTTCACTCAGGGGAGAGGACGCTGAGGTTGTTACCGAATCCTATGATGACTTGTCACATCCCGATCCTGTTAGAGACGAAGCTCTTGCCAGTAAGTGTTCGACGAGGCTTGACCTGATTCGTATCTCGCCATGCGGTAGGCTCACCAGAGGCCCTCGTAGCTTCGCTGGTTGACTTGAAGCTGGCTGCGTATAAGATCATCACGGAGCTGGAGCCGATGCGTTGGAGAACCGAACAAGGAATGAAGGAGCTTCAGGCAAGTCAAGGGTAGGGGCGGCTCGCAAGGAGCCAACCTCCCCCCGTCAGGTAAGGGCTGGAGCTCTACAGCAGACCCTGGATCGTCTGCAGAGGGATGTTGAAGTTAGTGGCAATGTTGATATGGCCGAGCAATTCCGAAACATGAAGCAGGAATTGATGGAGATTTCCCGCGAGGTATATTCAACAGCGTTTGTCAAACTAGAATCAAACATATTTCTTCTACAGGCTGCTGACTCGAGTCGAGGCAGGAAGCGCGATCTTGATATGCTGGAGGAAGGACTTGCGAACATTGTGAGTTTTGGTATCAAATCGCCTCTCATTTTATGGTCAATTTCAGCATGCGAGTCCGGGATCGTCATCAATGGCAGAGGTCGAACGGAGAGCACAGAAAATGAAGGATGAGCTGGAAAGCTCGGGCAATACACTACGTGAGTTCCAACAGTCGCCGATTACTCGGATATGTCTCTGTTCAGTGTGGCTGGCAATTGTATGTCTGATCGCAATTGTCAGCGTTGGCGTTGCTGTGTACCGCAAGTTCAGACATCTGGAGAAAAGTCACCTTCTATAATTGAATTCTACCTGAACTGTTCTTTTCTTTTTCGATACGACTACTAAACTTTCTCACTGGTTCCTTGCTTTCGATAGCTTCCCCAGACAATGAACTGTATGAATCATCGAAGACCTGTTTTGTGTTTGTAAGAGTTGCGATTGTGGTGGAATGCGACGACGGATGACAAAGATTACGAGATCGACATACGCGAAGTGAGGATACGCCGCAATCAACAATCAACAATAAATTTCAACAAGTTGATACAATTGATACTCAACTTATCCCGAATGAGAACTGTCTGATATCATTCACGGAAAAGTCTGACATGAACACTACCAATCCAACCGACTGATGGCACCGTCGCATTCGCAGGAGCGGTATCGACTAAGTCTTATCGGCACATAGTTCCGATGTGCCGATTTCGTGCACACTTGGAACACAGTGATATCAGTACATCCGCACACTTTGGCAATTATCTCCACTACTTCTGACATTCACAGTTTCTCATATTAATCCCAGTGCGGTCACCGCGTCGACCTTGTGTGATATTGGAGATACTAGCAGTAGTTTGCCCATCTAACACCAACACAGCCCCTGACTGTAACAGCTTTGATGAGTGCAATCACACGCTGCCTGATGCGAGCACATTGAATCAAGCACACGAGGGGAGACAGACTACGTCGGAACCAACGCAAATATCAGGAACCTCCTCCTAGATCTGTGAGACAACAACGCCCTGAGACAACAACGTCGTCACAATATCCAACATCCGCTTAAGATCCCTGTCTCCCTGCGAATATACTAGCGCTAGGATGTCATCGACATCGTTAGTCTTCATGATAACCATTAGATCGTTCAACGAGAGTTGAGTGAAGTAGAATAGTTGTCGACCTCAATCTCTGCGTAATTCGATTGTACTAGATTCCTAGTGATATCATTTCAGCCTTTTTCTTTTATTCGAAGCCATGGTAGCGGTACATTCTATGATCATTCCAGTTCTCATTAGTGGACTAGTGAGTTTCGGAGCTGCTCAAACCTCGTCCCTGTCGTCATCGTGGTGCAAAAATAACGAGGCCGAGGTTGTTTATGATCGTGCTACAATGGGACCTGATTTCCTTCCTAAAGATGGTGTGGATATGATCGACTATGACTTCGATGGTGCTCGTAACTGGTACATGTCCGGCAAAGATCTGGGCACCAGGAGATATGAGTTGTGGAAGGTTACTGCTGATGGTTCGGTTCGTACTGATATCATTCACGACAAGGTTGACTGTATCGCTGTTAAAGCCGATGGTTCTGGGATATTTGCGGTTGTTAATGACAACATAGGTATTTATAACACAAATGGTGATGGTATTATTGAAGTGGTCGATAATGGCTCTCATCGAACTTGGAGTGGCCTGTATTATGATGATGTAGAGAAGGTCTTGTACGCTAGTGACTCTGCGAATAATATGATCTACATGTTCGTGAGGAAGAGCTGGGGTTGGGATAGTACTGTGATTATAAAGGGAACGGGTCAAGGCTCGAAGAAGCTTGATCAGCCTGCTGGTATTAGGAAGTTTGGCAATACTCTGTACATTGTCCAATCTGGTGGCCGATCCAATGTCGTAGTGAGTTGGGATATTGGATCGAATACGAGAAACTTTGAGTACGATTTCAAGCCAACTGGTGAATTTGGTATCGAAGTTTTGGACGGGTATATCTTCTATAGAGATGGTAGTGATTCGGTCTACAGAAGAAATGTGAAGTCACCGAATGGACGTTCTGACATTGTTGTTGGCGGTTGTGGCGCTGGTTCCCGTATGAATCAGATTACAAACGCCGGCACCGGTGCTTTGAGGGGTTTCTCATGTGATCTTATCGTATGGGATTACACTGAAGGAAGTAATAGATTTGTAGAGTGGGATGATACCTGGTGCTCTCATGCTCATACCACTACGAGTACGACGATGACGACTACTCCTAGCACTACTACGAGTACGACGACGAGTACGACGACGACTACTCCTAGCACTACGACGACGACTACTCCTAGTACGACGACGACTACTCCTAGTACGACGACGACTACTCCTAGTACGACGACGACTACTCCTAGTACGACGACGATTACTCCTAGTACGACGACGACTACTCCTAGTACGACGACGACTATTCCTAGCACTACTCCTAGCACTACTACGAGTACGACGACGACTACTCCTAGCACTACTACGAGTACGACGACGAGTACGACGACGACTACTCTTAGCACGACGAGTACGACGACGACCACGACGACCACCACTACTCCTAGCACTACTACGAGTACGACGACGACTACTCCTAGCACTACTACGAGTACGACGACGAGTACGACGACGACTACTCTTAGCACGACGAGTACGACGACGACCACGACGACCACCACTACTCCTAGCACTACTACGAGTACGACGACGACCACGACGACCACCACTACTCCTAGCACTACTACGAGTACGACGACGACCACGACGACCACCACTACTCCTAGCACTACTACGAGTACGACGACGACCACCACTACTCCTAGCACTACTACGAGTACGACGACGACCACCACTACTCCTAGCACTACTACGAGTACGACCACGACGACGACTACACCTAGCACTACTACGAGTACGACGACGACCACCACTACACCTAGCACTACTACGAGTACGACCACGACGACGACTACTCCTAGCACTACTACGAGTACGACCACGACGACGACTACACCTAGCACTACTACGAGTACGACCACGACGACGACTACACCTAGCACTACTACGAGTACGACGACGACCACCACTACTCCTAGCACTACTACGAGTACGACGACGACCACCACTACTCCTAGCACTACTACGAGTACGACGACGACCACCACTACTCCTAGCACTACTACGAGTACGACCACGACGACCACCACTACTCCTAGCACTACTACGAGTACGACCACGACGACGACTACACCTAGCACTACTACGAGTACGACGACGACTACTCCTAGCACTACTACGAGTACGACGACGACGACTACTCCTAGCACTACTACGAGTACGACGACGACTACTACTCCTAGCACTACTACGAGTACGACAATTACCACTGCGAGTGCCACAACAACGACTAATGGTGGTGATCTCATGTGTGACGATTTCTGCGATTCGATATCCAGTGGTAGCTATTGCATGTATTACAAAAATCCCAGCGTGTGCAGTGGGTCTAATGTTCCATGTTCGTGCGGCGGTACTACCGATGTTTTCACTACAACACATCGGACAACATTACCATTCGAAAGCACTACGTCGGCTTCCCATGGTTCTACGTCGCGTCACTCTACGACTGAATCAAGCACAAAGACTGCACTCGTTCCATCCACCACCACACCTCATAGCGGTGGGGAGCTTCAATGTGACGATTTCTGCAACTCTGTCCACCCAGGCACGTACTGCAAGTATTGGCTGATCCCGAGTGTATGCTCTGGTACTGATACGCCCTGCGAGTGTTCGCAGTAGGTCGGGATAACTTCCACAGGTTGACTTTGATGATCTATCACGGTTTTGATGTGATTCATGTTGATATATACTGTTGCCATTTCTCAATATTTCTTCGACATGTGTTGTCGCCTTTTCATCTCCATTGAGGCATTCGCTATTTTTTATCCTAACTTTACTACTATTTCACGTATTAACTTCACCACTATTCTATAAAGCATACTCTGAAGATGTACACTCTCACTACTAATGCACTCTCTTTGTAATCACTGACTGTTATACCAGGAAAATTTCTCACTTCCTGGTGCATTTTCTCTTTCGGAAGGCATCACGTCACAAGTTGTGATGATATGTTCCGCTGGCTCCACTGAAGCTTGTTCACGTTTCTTACTCTTCTGATTGCACACTTTTTTTGAATGCGGTCCTTCAGTCGTCACCTATACTATCTATGTTGATGTGCGTTACGGTCTGCTTACCGTGCTGACTCAACATGCTGAGTGTGATGACGATTCTATGCAGCTCAGTGTTAATGTTAACTTCCTGATTATAAAACCTTTCAAACATGATACTTTTTAGTTGTGTTCAAGCGTACCTGCGTGGCTAAATTCACGAAGATTATTCCAATCATCCATTCTGAGCTCCAACCACCTCATTGGTCAGCTCTAACCGCTGGTATGACTGTCAAGTCAGTGGTCGATGTTATCATGTTGGTCTGCACATACTTGGCGAAAATAGGCTGCATGTACGCAGCAATAGTACGGCTGCATCTAATGTGTTCATCTTTCCTTTTTCAAGTTAGGAAGAGAACTATATTCTTTCCTTCTCTCATGTGTCTGGATTTCTGAGTTTACAGCTTGAAGCTTGTAAATACGAAAACTCGGACATACCCGATTATTTCTTCGTGAGTGAGGGGCGTGAGTGAAAGAAGCTAACCGCAATGCGTGCATGACATGTGCGATTGTGTCGGTGCCGTTGGACGAGGACATGTTTTGGTCGCAGCACTGTTGGGATTATCCTACAGACTCCGTGATGCCAATATAGTGTTGAATGCTCAGTACAGAGCGATAAGCATGGACTCGAGATGGATAGGTACGGAATATACATGCGTGCGTGCAGGTGCGTGCAGGCGCCGCAAAAAACAATGAGCTCACTGATTCACAAACACTCAATCACAGCACATACGACGTTATCGTCACTGCACCGCTTAGCCACTAATTGGGAACAAACGCTAACAACTAATTGGGAACAACTAGCTAAGAA